TGAAATGTTAATAGCTGGGCCCGCCCCGTGGCTTAGTGGTTAAGTGTGTGCGCTCCGCTACTGGCGGCATGGGTTTGGATCGTGGGTGCGCACCAATGCACCGCTTCTCCGGCCTCACTGCGTCCCACATACAGCAACTAGAAGGATGTGCAGCTGTGACATACAACTATCTACTGGGACTTTGGGGGAAAAAAATAAATAATAAAAAAAATAAATAAATGATTTCTTAAAAAAAAAAAAAAAAGTTAATAGCTTCATTTTAATCCAGAGAGGATTGTGTGGAAAGGTTGTGCTGCATTTCCTGCCACATTAATGAGTCAGTGAAAGGCCTTGGTGATAAGCATATAATGTAGTTTAAAAATTTATACATCAGCCAAATTTATTGGACCATTTATCAGAAGTGCATGAAGTATACAGAAGTTGAGAGACTAGTTTAATGTAATGAACCCTGATGAACCGGTAACTCAGCTTTAACAATTATTGACCTATGCCCAATCTTGTTTCATCTATACCCTCACCCCCTTGATTGTGTTTAGAAAATTAATTAATATTAATTATGCTAATGATATTGTGTCAGATTGCATTTATTTTGTTTTATTATTATTTTTTTAATTGTGATAAGAAAACACATACAATTTACCATCTTAACCGTTTTTAAGTGTACAGTTCAGTAGCATTAAGTATATTCTCGTTGTGCAGTTGATCACTGGAATTTTTTCATCTTGCAGATCTGAAACGCTATACCCATTAAACAACAACTCCCCATTTCCCTCTTCCCCTAGCCCCTGGTAACCACCATTCTGCTTTCTGTTTCTATGAATTTGACTACTTTAGATACCTCATATAAGTGGAATCATACAGTATTTGTCTTTTGGGGACTGTTTTATTTCACTTAGCATAGTGTCCTCAAGATTCATCCATGTTGTAGCATGTGACAGAATTTTCTTCCTTTTTATGTCTGAATAATATTCCATTGCATGTATCTACCATATTTTGTTTATCTGTTCATCCATCAATGGACATTTGGGTTGCTTCCATCTCTTGGCTATTGTGAATAATGCTGCTATGAACATGGGTGTGTAAATACCTTGTTGAGGCCTTGCTCTCAATTCTTTCAGGTATATACCCAGAAGACAGATTGCTAGAATATATGGTAGTTCTATTTTTAATTTTTTGGGGAACCGCCATCCTATTTTCCATAGTAGTTGCACCATTTTTCATTTCCACCGACAGTGCACAAGCGTTCCATTTCTCCACATCCTTGCCAACACTTTCTCTTTTCTGTTTTTTAATAGTTGCCATCTTAATGGGTGTGAAGTGATATCTCATTATGATTTTGATTTGCATTTTTCTAATGATTAATGATGTTGAACATCTTTTTATATACTTGTTGGTCATTTGTATATCATCTTTGAGAAATGTTTATTCAAGTCTGTTGCCCATTTTTTAATTGGGTTATTTATTTCTTTGTTATTGAGTTGTAGGAGTTCTTTATATATTCTACATATTAGCCCTTTATCAGATACATGATTTGCAAATATTTTTTCCATTCCATAGGTTGCCTTTTCAATCTATTGATTGTGCCCTTTGATGTACAGAAGTTTTTAAGTTTGATGTAGTCCCATTTGTCTATATTTGCTTTTGTTGCTTGTGCCTTTGGTGTCATATCTAAGAAATCATTGTCAAATCCAATGGCATGAAGCTTTTCCGCTATATTTTCTTTTAGGAGTTTTATAGTTGGATCTTAAATTTAGGTCTTTTTTTTTTTTTTTTTGATGAGGAAGATTGGCTCTGAGCTAACATCTGTGCCCATCTTCCTCTATTTTGTATATGGGAGCCACCACACATGGCTTGGCAAGCAGTGTGTTGGTCTGCGCCTGGGATTCAAACCTGCAAACCCTAGACCACTGAAGTGGAGTGTGTGAACTTAACTACTATGCCACTGAGCCGGCCCCTGCATATAGGTCTTTAATCATTCTGAGTTAATTTTTGTGTGTTGTGTAAGATAAGTGTCCAACTTCATTCTTTTGCATGTGGATATTCACTTTCCCCAGCACTATTTGTTGAAGAGACTGTCCTTTCCCCATTGAGTTATCTTAGCATCCTTGTTGAAGAGCATTTGACCATAAATGTGAGGTTTATTTCTGGGTTCTCCATTGGTCTATATATTTGTCTTTATGCCAGTACCACACTGTTTTGATTACTGTAGCTTTGTAATATGTTTTGAGATCAGGAAGTGTGAGACCTCCAGTTTTTTTTCTTTTTCAAGATTATTTGGTTATATGGATTCCCTTGAGATTCAATGTGAGTTTTAGGATGGATTTTTCTATTTCTGCAAAAAATGCCATTGGAATTTTGAAAGGGATTGTGTTGAATCTGTAGATTGCTTTGGATAGTATTGACATCTTAACAATATTTAGTCTTCCAGTCCATGAACATGGGATGTCTTCCCATTTACTTGTGTCTTCTCTAATTTCTTTCAGCAATGTTTTGTAGTTTTTGGTGTATAGGTCTTTCACCTCCTTGGTTAGGTTTATTCCTAATTATTGTATTCTTTTTGATGCTATTGTAAGTGGAATTGTTTTCTTAATTTTGTTTTTGGATTGTTCATTGTTCATGTATAGAACATAACTGATTTTTGTGTGTTGATTTTGTATCCTGCAGCTTTGCTGAATTTGTTTAATAGTTCTAACAGGTTTTTTTCTTGTGGATTTTTTAGGGTTTTCTCCATATAAGATCATGTCATCTGCAAACAGAGATAATTTTACTTCTTCCTTTCCAATTTGAATGCCTTTTATTTCCTTTTCTTGCCTAATTGCGCTGGCTAGCACTTCTAATACTATGTTGAATAAAAATGGAGAGAGCAGGCATCCTTATCTTGTTCCTGATCTTAGAGCAAAAGTTTTCAGTCTTTCACCATTGAATATGTTGTTAGCTGTGTGCTATTCATATATGACTTTTATTATGTTGACGTAGTTTCCTTCTTATTTCCAATTTGTTGAGTGTTTTTATCATGAAAGATGTTGAATCTTGTCTAATAATGCTTTTTCTACATCAATTGAGATCATGTGATTTTTATCCTTAATTCTGTTAATGTGATGTATTACATTGATCAATTTTCATGTGTTGAACCATCCTTGCATTCCAGGAATAAATCCCACTTGGTCATGGTGTAATGTGCTGTTGAATTCAGTCTGCCCTCCTGATTATTTTCATTATTTTTGAAGCAAATACCAGACATAGGCAGTAAGCTAATAAATAGGTAAACATGGGATATAATGGCAGATACTGATAAATATTATGAAGAAAAGTAAAATAGGGCAGGAGGATAAAGAGTGGTGGAGGTAGAATGGGGCTGGGGCTGTTTAAGTACAGAGGTTTTAGAAGCCATCTGAGGAAGTGACATTTGAGAAGAACCTGAATGCAGGTAAGGGAAGAACCTTACAGGTACATGGGACAGCAAAGGTGAGAATTTGCTTAGAGCTCTTGGGAGATACCTGGGAAGGAATCTGTAACAACAGGAACAGGAGATTAAGTCACAGAGGCTGGGGAGGCTCAGGATATCTGCAGTATGGGAGGGCACATAAATCCTATCTCTTGAGCCTTAGTTAGCACAGACAGCTCCTTATATGCTTTTATTACTCATTACAGGTTTCCCACTTTCTTTTTATTTCCTTTGCTTTTGCTGTCCTATTTCTAGAAAGAATGTGCTTGCTTTGTTAACCAAAGGACAGGGCCTGAGTTGTATCCCAGATTTCCTCTGAAGAAGGATGAAATTGAGTGGGTGGAGTCTCTGGGTCTAGCCAAGAATCCATTGTGATGTCTAATGTGATTTGGGAAAAAACAATTATTGTTTCAAAAATAGTACATTATGGTGTATGACCTTATATATTTTATAATTAGAATATGTGCCTAATATTTTTAATTTAAATAGTAGGAAACAGATTTCTTGAAGTTCATGACAGAATTTTTAACTGGCAGCATGATCCATAGTATAGCAGTTACCTCTTTCCTATAAGCACTTGTGTTGGAATGTTTTGCATTCCCATGAAACAGTTTTCCCAAATCTGTCTTTTTGGAGGAAGTGTAAATTGCTCTCATGCTATTGTGGTAACTAGAAGATAAAAACACCCTGGAGCTGGCAGATGTTTGTTACCATCCTTGATAATATAAGGGATGTTGGTACAAGCATGTTAAATATCATAGAATGTGGAGAAGTTGTCTGCTTTGTCCCCAAATGGAGTTTTATTTACAGTCTAGCTCAGTGTTTAATATGCATCTGCCTCCTTTAGTATTTAATCAGTTTATTTGTTTTTTTTAATCCCTGAATCCAGATAATTTTATTTTCCACTGATAAAATATTTACTTGTCATATCAGGCAGGGCGCTAAACTTGGAAATTAAGAGTACTGAGTTAAATTTAAAATTTGTTGAAAAGTATTCATCATAATGCGGTCTATTTAATGTCTTGGCAGTGCCTCTGGCTCTTCTCGCTTAACATGTTAGGAGACAGACTGGCAGCAGTTGTAAACTGAAACCTGGTTGTATTCAGAACGAGACTGATAGGGGTATGAGGGAAAATGGAGAAAATTTGAAAGTGTTACTCTGTGTATGTGTGTGTTTCCTTAAATTAAAGTGTGACACATTTGCTTAAAATAGAATTTTACATTCTATTTATGAAGGCTATTATAACTTCATGATAGATGATCCTAAGACTGAAACCGGTATTAAATATTGTTTTGTAGAATAATCAAATTTATCTGTTAACAAAATTGTCATAATGTCACACAAGTTGTTTTGATATAAAAAGCTTGTTTTACAATGTTTGAGTCATTTGTCCCTAGTAGACCTGAAATTTATTACTCAGAGGAGAAGCATGCATTTACAGTATATTCTTAGCTGCTCCTGTCTGTCACTCAGCTGTCAAGCCCTATGGAATCTAAAATAAAACCTGACCAATGGGAGACAGTCTACACACTGTTGACAGGATGATTCGGACGTAGACAGTTTTTTCATGCACTGCAGCGTCTGTGTTGCAGTGCTGAGGCGGCAGGATGCAGAGTGCTGTTCAAGTTTTTCGGTGGAGTCCCTAAAAGGGACAGCTTTGAAACACAGCTTCTAAAGAATAAGAAATAGGAGGAGGTACAGTACCTGATTTGGGACTGCTCTTAATCAAGTGCTGCACAGCAAGGAAGATAATTTTCAAGCGTTATGAAGGCGGAGAAGGATCCCGAAGACGAAGAAAATATTGTTAGAGATCCAAGCTAAGTGTAGCACAGCATGAAGATCGTAGAACAGGAAGAGCTGTAAAGAGAGGGACGGAGTTACTTGTTAGGAGTTGGTCTCAGGGCTTGCTTTGTGAGCTACAGAGATTTGTAACAACGCGAAGTGGTTTGCTGTTAGCAACAAGAAGCTAAATCCTGTCTATGATGAACTGTTGGTTTTCTTGTGCTCCTAAGAACAGAGTAGGTATCCCTGTAGTCCAGTGTAACAAAAGATTCTTGATTGGGCTTTCTGAACTATATTGTTTTAAAATGTATTACTGTTTTATTAATTTTGGTTTCTTTGTCTTATTATATTCTTTCTGATTTACTTGATTAGCAGATTGGGGTTAATGATAGAAAACAAAAGTTCTTGTTTCTTTTTCTGGGTTTAAAAAGCTCATAATAGAATCTTAATAACTGAGCAGTATTTCTGTTAACTGACAGTGGAGCAAAATGGAAATCCATGCTTGGTGGAGTAGAACTGAAAATCACATGATAATTGGAGACTTTAATCACGTTTAGTTATCTTTTAAAAAGCCTTGCTTTTGGATTTTACAAGTTTTTAGTGTTTTAAACAATTCCTTTCTCTACCAGCGAGTTTACTTGGAAATAAAATTGAGATTGTTTTAACTGCAAGGATGAACTAATCAATTTAGAGCAAGTATTTGTGTGCTACACATGACTTAATCCCTTAGGTATTTGAAAACACAAAGTCTAGTAAGCCTACATCTACTACCACTCCCCAATTTAGAGTCAGCAAACTGTTTTGTTTTAAAACTGAAGAAAGGGGATGCCTAAAATGTAGTTTAGACTTTGAGCCAATAAGTAGGGCTAGTCTCTATTCATAGTTGACATTTTGAACTTTAGAAGTTAAAAGGAAGTGGGTTCACTCCAAATTTGGCTAATTTAGAGAGAGCAATTGTGAAGTCTTTGTAGGTACTTGAACCAGATTCCACGGAAATGTTACATTTCAGGAGTGACTTAAAATTTTATTTGTCTTTTTTAATTTCAATTTTCATATTTATTTTTCACTTCAAGTATTTAAGGAATACATTGCTGATTTAGCTAGAAAATTAGTGATTTTTTTGGTTGGGAGGGGATAGTAGATATAAAATAATCGTACTGATCAAACATTTAGAGGATGTGCTTCATATAAGTGATCAATTTCTTCCCCCAGAGATTTGTTATGGTGTTTGTGGGCATAGGAATTGCTTTGTAAGTTAAGTGAAAAATGTGTACATCTTATTCTAGAAATAATACTAGACTTAGCACAGACTTGAGCAATAAGTTTACTGTATAATATTCTAAAAGGCTAAAACCTTACTTGTTTAAATAATATATGTTTTAATTCTGGGTTCTACATTTCTGCTTTCTAAGAAAAGATCCAAGTTATTGGTTTCAGAATGTCTTGAATATATTTTCTCAAATCAAAGCTAAAGATAACCTGAATACAATTAAAATGTATATCATGTGATACATCCATCTATTTGAAAAATTGTCTTTGATCTTCCTTTAAGTACATGTGCAGTGAGTTTTTGTTAAAATTAAAAATCTTCTTAACAAAAGCAATATATGTTGAATGTAAAAAAGAAGACAGAAAATGAGTCACCTGTAATCCTGTTATCTCAGGGTTTTTAAATAGTTAATACTTTATAGAGTCTTTTCTATGTAGAAGTTACTCTTTATTCTAATATTTAAGCATAATGAATTGCTTTCTCTATTGAGTGTATGTAATTTGCCTTCATAAATGTATTTCCAAAAGTACCTTTTAAACAATTGGGGGGGGGTGGTCTTAAAATGTGTACAGAATTCCACTGCATCTGAGGGTCTTGGGAGATATGTAACCAGAGCCAAATCTGAAAGCATGAGTTAGAGAGTAGGAAAAGCACACTGATTTTGGAAGTCATGAGAATTTGTGGTTGAGCTTGGCCACTTAAGTCATTTAATGTCCCTGGGGCCTTAACTTTTCTCATCTGTTAAATGAGGATGATAATTTTGGTTTACTAGGGTTGTTTTAGTAATTCATGCCTGGCACAGGGTAGGTAGGTGTTCAGCAATTAGTTACCTTTCTTTGCTCTGAAGGCAAAGAAAACAGAGCAGAGAACATGAGAAATATGCTTTTTCTCAAAAGTATACTTTAAAATCTTTCTTGTATATCATGTGTTTTGGAAAGGTTCTTTTGGTGATGTTAGCACAGCAGGCAGCAGGAAATTTGGGATGCGGTTGGAAATCGAGTGATGCATTACGCAGTACTGCTTTCCCTTCTCCTTTCCTTCCTTCTTTAGAAAGTCTTACTAATATAGTATAGATATTATGCCATGTTTACTTTTTTTTCCTTTTTGTAGCATGCAGCAGATTGGAGCAAATATGATGACCGATTGATGAAAGCAGCAGAAAGGGGAGATGTAGAAAAAGTGTCCTCAATCCTTGCTAAAAAGGGAGTCAGTCCAGGCAAACTAGATGTGGAAGGCAGATCTGCGTAAGTATTACTGATGATAATTCCCTACGGGGGGTTTGGGTAGACACTTGGGATACAAATGAAATGGTTATCAACTTTTTAGTTAAAAAAATCTTTATCAAAACCCACACTATAAAATCTTTCAAACTTAACTTTCAAACATTATAGACTAATAAACGTTTTCAATTTGAAAGATTTTCAAGCTAGAGAGAGAATATTAAAATACTGCCCAGTTGTTTAGGCCCTATGGCAAACCACAGCCTGAGTTATTTCGTGAATTTTCATTTATAAGTTTTTTCGTATTCCTTATCATATTTGATCCTCGCAGTGGCCCTCTAAAAGACATAGGAAAAAGTTTACAGAGGTTAAGTAACTTGGTCTAATTTCATGATAAGTCACAGAGCTGGGATGTGAACCTGTTTTCTGACTTGGAAGAATTTTGTTAAGTTACACTGCGTTTTCCTTTCAACTCCCAATCCATTTTTATATTTGGGTTATTCATTTAAATGAGAACGTTTAGAGCGGAAAGGGAGGCAGAATAAGTAGTGTGGTTTAGGAAGACACAGGTAGCGATCCTGCCTTTTTGTTTTTGTCACTGAGGAGGACCACTGGCTTTGTTTATATGCTTATTTTTTCTCCCACCCCTCCCCAGTGTTCATCATTTCCCTTCCTGTTGGGGTGGGGAGCAGTAGGGTAAAGGGTAGATCTAGGTTCTGTCACTGCCCTCTATAAATATAACAGTTAAAATCTAATCTGGGAAACCTTCCAGAGTTAGAGGTGAAAAGTCTCATTTCCTCAAATTCCTCTCAGTCTGATACTTGCGTGAGTTTATTTAGAATATTACACAGTAACTGGGAACCAGATACTACATATAGAAATGGATATTAAGACATGAATAGTTAATGTTTGATGTGGGTCACTACCTGAGAATGCTTAGATATTTAAGTTTAGTAAAAATGGCAAAGCATGACTTAAAAATTAAGTCATTTTTGAGAGCAATAAAGTTTGAAAAGTTCCAATTTTTTTATACTGTTTCAATTTTCTCAAGTAGGCAATTTGATAGCTATAGAAACCTTGGTGATTTTGAGTCCTGTTCCTATTTTTTGCTAAATTTTAAGCTATTTATAGACCTCACAATATAAATAGGAAAAATGTAATATCTAAAAGTGACTTTGTTTTTCATGTTTCTTTTTTTCCAAACGCCAAAATGTTAAAAGATGAAGGGAACCTGTGGGATGAAACTCTTCAGTGAAACCTGTTTTCTTCAGTTCTGCCCATCCATGCTTTGAATGTTTTAACTGATTGGTTACTTGAGTACTTGTTCAGATTTTTTTTATGTAAGCTTTAGTTTTGAGTGAAATTATTTGTGTTAATGGTCAGAGTTATAAAAATCTTGTGTAATTTGATGAACTGTTAACTTTAGTTTTTAAAATATTTGAGTGGTATTAGTTGCTGTTTTTTTCAATTAAACTTTTTAGTTTCAGATAATTGTAGATTCACATGCATGCAGTTGTCAGAAATAATAGGGAGATCTCGTGTATCCTTGACCCAGTTCCTCAAGGGTAGCATCTTCTCAGACTACAGCACAATATCTCAACCGGGATATTGACGCTAATACAGTCAAGATGCAGAACATTTCTTCACAAGGATTAAGTGGTATTAGTTTTTGAGGTTTTCACTGCAGAAAGTAGAATTCTTTCTGGTATTCATAGGATAAAATATTTTCCTTTTGTTACTCACACATAAACTGTATTCTTCCTTAATTAAAGCATTTTATATTTAGTCAAGTATAGGCCATGTTGCAAATATATTTTCTCTATTATCTATAATTATAAAAACAATTTTATTTTGAATGATTTTTTGTTATTTTTAATTTTGAAATGTAAGACAAAAGTAACATGTGCTTCTTGACCTCAACCCAGTTTTGAAAATGAAATATTTGAAGCCCAGCCATAGTCACTGCAAGGATCTGTTTTCTTCATCTCTCTCCTAGGGGGCAGCCCTTTGCCACCACAAAATGAGGCAGATTCACCAGAGATCCCCACTGCCACTTGGAGAGCCATGGATTCCAATTCCTGTTTCCCCATCCCCTCAGGCTGTCAAAAGTGCTGTTTAGGGGCTGGCCCGGTGGTGTAGTCGTTAAGTTCGCACGCTCCGCTTTGCAGGCCCGGGGTTTGTGGTTTCAGATCCCAGGCGTGAGCCTACGCACTGCTTGTCAAGCCATGCTGTGGCCGGGTCCCATATATAAAAAAGTAGAGGAAGATGGGCACGGATGTTAGCCCAAGGCCAATATTCCTCAGCAAAAAGAGGAGGCTTGGCAGATGTTAGGTCAGGGCTAATCTTCCTCACCAAAAAAAAAAAAAAAAAAAGTGCTGTTCAGCCTCCTAGCTGTTTTCTCTGGAATCAGCAAACGGCAAAAAGGGCCTCAAATACTAAGTTCACCTCTCTGGGCCTGTGACCTTCCGTGATTTCTGGACTAGTAACTTTTCACTGTTTTGTTAGCGTCTGGGTGCCTTCAAGCATGTCTTATATTTTATGCAACTTTTCTAGTTGTCCTCAGAGGTGGGGATTGTCCAAATTACCTGGATCTCCTGTTATGGAAGCAGAAGTACATCTTGTTTAAACAAAGAAAACTTAAAGTTGACTTTTTTAATTGCAAAAGACTATTTCTATAAAGCAACTTTTCCAATTTCCTTTACAGCTTTCTGCATACATTTTAATGATTGATATATCTTCTTTCTGATGCACATCTACTATTTATAGCACCCCAGCATTAATAATGCATTGTGGATTTGTTGTGATTTCTGCTCTTTAGTGCATCATCAGTATAATGTTGATTGATTTTGAAGAAAGAAATCTTCCAAATTTTGTGGGCTAAGAAATGAAAATAAGCAAACAAAAAAATATCTTCAAGATTGTTGGGAGACTGAAAACCTTTGCTTGAAGGAAACTACCATTCCTCAAAATGTTCTAACTATGCAAGGCATAGTGTAATTCCCTACTTCATTGTTGCAGAGAGATTAATTGATACCCCAGCCTTATAGCAATTTAATTCTACTATAAGGAGAATGTATCTGACTCTTAAGAACATTATATTCCTTTTTATCAGAAACATCTCTTTCTCTCTAATTCAAATTAGACACAAACCTGCTTTGCTTAGTAGTGCTTGCTCTCTAGTTTGCATTTATATTTGTCATAATACTAATAGAGATGCATGACTGAGTGTTTTAATATCTGGAAATGAATTTGCAAGCTGTCTCCAGATTTTGTCTCTAAGCATTCAATTATTCAAATATTTGAGGGCCCATCATCTGTCTGGTACTGTTATTGTCTCTGGTGATATAATAGAAAACAAAACAGACAAAAATCCCTGCTTTCATTGAGTTTATAGTTAAGTAGGAAGAGATTGATAGACTATCAAGAAAATAAATCTTGAATTTATATATTATATTAGAAAATGTGTAGTTCTTTTTTTTTTTTTATAATTTTATTTATTTATTTATTTCCCCCAAAGCCCCAGTTGATAGTTGTATGTGACAGCTGCACATCTTTCTAGTTGCTGTATGTGGGACACGGCCTCAGCATGGCCAGAGAAGCGGTGCGTCGGTGTGCGCCCGGGATCCAAACCCGGGCCGCCAGCAGCGGAGCGCATGCACCTAACCGCTAAGCCACAGGGCTGGCCCGGAAAATGTGTCGTTCTATGTAGAATAATAATGGCAGAGATAGGGGAACCTGGAGTACTAAGGTTTCAGGGAATGGGAAAATGTAAAATTTTTAAATGGTCAGGCCAGGGAAGATCCTGCTGAGGGTGTGATACAGAGTGTGTCTGTATCCAGGCACCTTGCCCAGTGCTTGCGCATCCTTTATCTTCTGGCATCGTCACATGGTTATTGTAGTGCTTGTTTAGGACCTCATTTCTATTTCAGCCTGAGTTCAACATCCTTTGCCAACAAGTCCTACTGTATTTAGTTACCAATTTGTATTTGGTGGAGTATAGTCAATCTCAGTTCTTATTGCCCACAAAATATTTCTGTAAATATTTGTTGATTAATGAAGTATAGATGATCAAAGAAACAATGGGATATTTTATGGTGTATGTAGGATACTTGATGGCTTAAAGTTAGTTCCTTAAGCAGGGTTTACTTGCCTTATGAGGAAACTTGTTCAATTATGCCTGTCTTTGCTCATAGAGTCACGCAGCTCTATGAGCAAAAGGAAGAATTAGATGGTAGTCATTGGTACTTTTGGGGAAGAAGACTATGCCAGTTCTTTTATGGCTTTTAAGTGTAGCTTAGCTTGTTGTTTTGAAGGCTTTTCTATTTCAGGCTTAATTTGGTAATTCTAAAGAGAAGGGATAAATGTTTTGATCTGTCTTTGGCCTTAGTGTTCTGCTGTAACTTCATTTGTTTTGGCAGTTTCAGTATATTTGAAACTAAGCAAAATAATCTGATAGGCATTTTTTAGTGCACTTATTAAGCTCCAAACACCAGTGCCTTTGTTATTGAAATAATAAACTATAGAGTGAATGACATTATAGTATAAATTTTCTATTATTAAAGCTATTGAACATTGGAATAGTCCATTGGTTCTAAGGAGGTATTTCTAGAAAGTATTGGCCCCTTATAAATTTGGGTTAAGATGAGTTTTTCAGTGATACGGGTTAGGTTTTTTTCCTTGTATGAAATATATAGGTGTTTAATGTAGTCTTTAAAATGTATTTGTGTACGTGTGTTGAATAAAAGGTGACGTTAATGTAAATTTTAAGTTGACCTTTGGTAGTTTCCATGGCATAACAAATATTTTCTTCTTGTTTAGCCTTCATGTTGTGGCATCAAAGGGGAATCTGGAGTGTTTGAATGCCATCCTTATACATGGAGTTGACATTACAACCAGTGACACTGCCGGTATGTGTGCCTCCGTAGTCAATTACAAAACAGAAAGAGAAGACAAACATTGTCCACTGCTAATGTTCTTAATCAGACCTAAATGTGATTTACAAAGAGAGGTCCTTAATTTTCTGTTTTTAATTAGTTGAGAAAAGGTTTGCTTCTGAGGTATCGTTGTAGGGGAGAGGGCAAGTACAAGGAATTTAGGAGAAAGGATTGCTGAACTGATGAACAGTTGGAGACCTGAAGTCTAGTGCTGGTCTTGGTAGTGTTACAGGATCCTAAAATCTCAGATTTTGAAGAACATTAGGGGCCATTTAGTTTATACTTGTATACTATTCAGCATATGAATCCTCACTGTCATAAGCATTTGGAATTTGGTTGGACATTTCTTGTGATGGAGAGCCAACTGCCTCATAACAAGAGCATCATCAATAATGATCATAAAAAGAGTAGCTGACACTTAATGTAACATGTATATAGCTACTCTGCTAAGTGCTTTACATGTACCAACTCATTTTATCCTCACGTCAACCCAGTGAGGCATTTGAGGTACTGAGCTGTTAAGTAACTTGTCTAGGGTCCTTCAGTGAAGCAGTTGCCATCTGAGTCTGTGTTATTTTATTTTATTTTTTTGGTGAGGAAGATCAGCCCTGAGCTAACATCCATGCCAGTCCTCCTCTTTTTGCTGAGGAAGACCAGCCCTGAGCTAACGTCTATTGCCAATCCTCCTCCTCTTTTTTTAAATTTTTTTTCCTTTTTCTCCCCAAAGCCCCAGTAGATAGTTGTATGTCATGGTTGCACATCCTTCTAGTTGCTGTATGTGGACGCCGCCTCAGCACGGCCAGACAAGCGGTGCGTTGGTGTGCGCCCAGGATCCGAACCCGGGTTGCCAGTAGCGGAGCGTGCGCACTCAACTGCTAAGCCGTGGGGCTGGCCCCTGAGTCTGTTTTCTTAACCATTATGCCTCATGAGGAAACCTGTTCTGTGTTTGGTTAGCTATATTTATAAAAAATTATTTCTTATAGACAGTTTAAGTTTGTCTCTTATTGGGTCTTCTGCTTAAAGAGTCATACCTATGTCTGTCTTTTAAAATCTTATAGCATAAGTTTGTCTGCTCATCACAAGATAGACTTTTAAGTATCTGAATACAGCTATTGCTTTTCTTCAACGAGCATGTTAGTTTTCTATTCTTCAGGATAATCATTCTCAGTCTTCTGGGACTCGTGACAACTATTTCTCTGCAGTTTTACTTTGTTATTCAATTAAATATGAGAGTTGACCGAGAGCAGAGAATTTCCATAACAACTTTAATATTTCATTCTATAACTCCATGTATGGACAAATAAATCAATTACTGTTAACCAGCATTGTATTTACAAATGGAAGGGGAGGAGAAGGAGAGAGAGAGATCACAATTGAGTTAGTGAGGAAAATCTTTACCTAAAAGATACATCAGATTCTTAATTGAAGGCCAAACTCAATTTATCTGCCACCTTTGAACCAAAAAGAAACTATTTATTACTTATAAATATGCTTTCCATTAATGTAGAGGAATATTTATTTTTAGAAATTTTGGACTAACCATACCTCTTCAGAACTCTCAAAACTTTATTTATTTATTGTGCTGATTCCAATTCAAACTAGTGTCTTTCTTGTTTTTGTCTGTGTTCTTTCTGCTCTGGACATTTTTGCCTCGTGGTGAATCTAGTGACTTCTGCCCTCCCTCCTTCAGTGCAGATCCAGCTCAAATGCTTTCCCAGGCTCAGCAGTCATCATTTCATATGCTGCATTCTGACATACCCTGCTTAACTTTTTGTCTTTTATTTTTGCTGTTGTTTAGTCATATTTTTATTTGATTTGTTTTTGTTATGTTTTTTCTTAGAATTGCCCTTCCCTAAGGGTAAGGACCTTGTCTCATTTACTGTTATATTGTTTGTCATAATCCAGATGTAGATATTTGATAAAAATTTGTTTTAAAAAACTTTATATATTTTATCTTAAGTCCTTTATTTGCTAGCAATACAAAATACCAGATTTCAAGTTAGTGTGGTTTTGAGGTATTTGTGACCCAGGCCTTGGGAGGTATGCACCTTGAGTGTAATTGATCGAGGTATGTGTTAGATATGATGTTTCCTTGATTTTTTGCTGCCCTGTCTCAAGTGGCTGGATTTGGTATTTCCTTAGCCCTGACATTTTTATATAACCCAGTTTGTGGCAATTTGTCGAGCACCAGGGACTGTCACCACTGTGCCTCTTCCCACCATGCCACTCCATGCTCTCTCCTACTTCCCATGTGAATGTCAGTTAATATAGATACTTTTCACAATGTGAAATGTTCCTAGGAAACTTGTCTAAGAACAATAGCAAATTGGAATTTGAAATCATCACATTTGACTTATTTGTAATTAGACGATCGATGATTAGGAGTGATTGAATATGTTGTATCTGTACTCGTTTAAAAGTCTGGACTGACTGCTTTTTGTTCTAGAACCTGGTTAGTCAGCTACATAGAAGTGATCAGACCCAGGAAAACTTATTCACTTATCTAAACTCATATAAAACTGAATGATAGTTGAAATTCAATTTATTCATTCATCCAGGATGAACAGAACATAAATCACTTCTTTTCTAGCAGAAAGGTCTACTTGAGAAGTCAAATTATGTTGTAAGAAGTTTGTGAATTTAGAGAGAAATTAAGAACATTAAAGATTAGAAACTAGAATAGCCTGGTGAAGCCCTTATATTTTTCATCATCCAAGAGAGATATATGTGTAAAGAAATACAATTAGGAGAAATAGTGTTTGGAGGTAGATTGTTCTCTGCAAATTTACCTTTTTTCAATACTCAATGTTAACCTTTCAGATTATCTGGTAACATCTTCCCTGCTCCCCCTCCCAGTCGTTTCCTTTAAATTTGCCTATTTCAATACACATTATATTTGAACAAGTTGTCTGATTTTCAGAGACAAGATCTCTTAATGAACTTTGAATTTTAGTTGAAGCATAAAAATGAATTAGAGAATACTCTTTCTTTGACTTAACGTCACTTAACTTCCATTTTCGTATCTACACTGCCTTTTTGGAAATGTTATGTGAAATCTAAGTATCTTTCTCTCCCTCCTTTCCCTATTCTCTTTTTCTCTTTGTCTCCCTCCCTCCCTCCCTTCTTTCGTATGCCAGTAGTTAATTACTTGTTCTGTCTCAGGTATTGCTCTAGGTATTGGAGATACAGTGGCAAATAAGGCAAAGCTCTTGCTCTTCATGGTTGTGTGTTTAATTTTTCTTCCCACCTTCATTGTTTTGATGTGTATGTTGTCTCATTAAAATATGAAACTGGGTGAAACATCTTGGAAACTGAAAGGATGCTTACAAATTAGTATCCTGTCACTAATTTTGGAAAAATGAATCATATTTCTATGGAAAATTCACATGTGAAGAAAATAACCCTTATATATTTTAAAATATTTCTTTTATAGGAAGAAATGCTCTTCACTTGGCTGCGAAGTATGGACATGCATTGTGTCTACAAAAACTTCTACAGGTAGTAAAGTGGTTAATACTTTGGCTTTATTATTTTGACTGCAAATAGTAGATGTGTTTTTAATGTGTTTTTGGAATTTGAGATCAAAGAAAATAGTAGGCTAACTTTGACTCTTAGCTTGCATAATATTTTTTCCATCATTTGTGAAAGAATGTGAACAATAAAGAGCAGAAACTCGGAGGGAAGTGCATTGCATAACTCAGTGTATTAAAAATAAATAACAAAGACTTGACCTTCCTGTTGACATTAGCTGGAGATTGGAATTTTCTGTTGTCTAGTATATGACTTAAGATAAAGTGTTACAGCATAGGATCTATATATTTCTATATAAACATTGATAACTTAGACTATATCATATTAACACCATTAGTTAAACTTGTAACCAGGCAACCACAAAATTCTGTGAACTAGTGGGCTGAATTAAGTTTTCAGTTAGAGGGTGTATGTTTTGCCACCAAGTTTCACAGCAGAACTCATTTGTTTTTTCTGATTCAATTGTTCAAGTTTTAACTCTTGCTGAAAAAAAAACCCAAACAATAACTTAGTTTCTGTATCCCATTCCATTGTAATGTACCATATGTTTTCCTGTTTGGTGAAATACTGTTAAATTTACAGTATAATGTTATGATATTTGTTTCGTGTCAAAATATTTAGTGGCTTGTCTAGTAGTCTTTAGAGTTTCTGATAAATGGAATATTTTAAGATTAAATAACAGCTGTTATTTGAGTCTTGATATTTAATTTTAAAATAAAACTCTGCTAGATTGCTAAGTTTTTATGTTTTAACAGTACAATTGTCCCACTGAACATGTGGACCTGCAGGGCAGAACTGCACTTCATGATGCAGGTAAGCAAAGGTTTCACTTGGCCATAAACAAGGATTTGTTAAAATGGCTAAGCATTTAAATGAATTTCAAAGTTTTAACGTGCATATATTTGTATAATTCATGAAGAAATAGAATATTATGAATTTTTTGTTTACTTGAATTTGAAATTTATTAGGTTGTACAGCTTACAAAGGTTCCTTCAGCCAATATTTACAGGCCAGTTTGCTAGATACAAAAGTCCAAAGATGAATAAACCATAATTCTGTTCTCAAGGAGCTCTGAGCACCGTGTGTGTGCGCGCGTGTGTGTGCGTGCGTGCGTGTTTGGGAACTGGTAGCAGAAATGGGAAGGAAGAAGACTTTTCTCTTTCTTAAAAACTGCATTTACCTCATTAACATGTCTGAACCTCATTTTCTCCATCTGCAAAATGAAATTAATAATACTACTGCAGTACTTGGTTATAATTGAGTCATAAATAGTGCCTGGCATATAATAATTTCTTAATTAATGGTGGTGGTGGTGATTTTGATTTGGAGGTGTCAGTGCTGAATTTCATATCACTGTATTGTGCTCTATTTTTTAAAAGATTTATACTAGTAATTTCACAGATTTTATTAATCATACTTGTGTATGGGAGTTTGTCTGCATTTCTATTTAGATATCATAAAGAAAATACTTAGAAAAAAATTAGATATTTAAGTATTTTTGGAATGTAAGTTAGTCTGACCTCTGGCCTGCCTCTGAAATTCCTACAGTTTACTGAGAAGGCCAAAGGAAAGAAAAAAAAACCTGCCCTCTCTTTTCCTGTATATGGAATATCCGCAATAGATGATAGTGGTCTGTGTTAAAACTATATTATACTTCAGATTTCCTTCAAACTTTTATGCCTTAATTTTCTTTGTTTTTTTATTTTTACATTTTACGTGTTTTACCATAGTTTAATCTCTCACACAATGCATTTTTCTCTTTTATTTTTGTATAGAGTGGTATAATTTGCAAAGCAGTTTTACATACATTATCATTTGAGTCTCACAATGACCCCTGTGAGTTTCTATAGTTTTTTTATTTTTATGATAATTTTGTATTGCTACCTAAAATAAATAAAAACATAATAATTAAATAAAAAATTAAAAACATAAGCCTAGATTCATATGATATACATAGCAAGCTTGTATAGTTATGGAATTATCAAAACAAATTTACAAATGGAATTTAAAATAATAAAAAAAAAAATACAATTCGGGCCGGCCCCGTGGCTTAGCGGTTAAGTGCGCGTGCTCCGCTACTGGCGGCGCGGGTTCGGATCCTGGGCGCGCACTGAGGCACTGCTTCTCCGGCCATGCTGAGGCTGCGTCCCACATACAGCAACTAGAAGGATGTGCAACTATGACATACAACTATCTACTGGGGCTTTGGGGAGGCAAAAAAAGGAGGATTGGCAATAGATGTTAGCTCAGAGCCAGTCTTCCTCAGCAAAAAGAGGAGGATTAGCACGGATGTTAGCTCAGGGCTGATGTTCCTCACAAAAAAAAAAAAAAAAAACACAATTCATTTTGGTAGTGCTAACTTATTGTACTTGATGGAATTTTAAAATGATTTTGCTGCTTGCTGAAGTAGGAATATATGTCATGTGATATTTCTATTCTCCGACCACCTTTTCCTAGTTGTTTTTTTTATTAGTCCAACCTTTTTAATAATCATTTTTAAAAAATTATTTTTTAGCTTTTTATTATGGAAAATTTCAAACATACATGAAATTAGAAAGAATATTATATCAAAACACCTTATACCCTTCACCCAGCTTAGACAGTTGTCAATATCTGACCAGTCTTGATTCATACCACCACCCCTTATTTTTCCACTCCACTGGCATATTTTTTTTTAAAACCATAACATGAAATATTTATTTCAATTATAGTCAGTTCTCATCATATTCTATTTTACAAGACGTTTAATATCTTTTTCATAATAACAACAAAAAAATTATGTGCTACTAGACCAATTAACAGACTAGAACTTTTCTGTTATTAGTGGCATGTCTGATTTTCACATTAGTTATTTATTCTCCAAAGCCAGTCAGCAGCATTCAGTAGCATCACACAATTTTACCAGAGATGTACCAAGTCTTTTATCATTTTTCTCACTTTACATGAGAAAGAGTGTATTGATCATCTTGTTTTTATAGCTTGGAATAAACTTGGAAAAATTAATTATATTAGATCTATATCATTTTAGTTCTGATTGTTTTTATCCACAGGCATATTTTATTTTATTTATTTTTATTTTTTTATTTTATTTTATTTTTTTTGGTGAGGAAGATTGGCCCTGAGCTAACATCTGTTGCCAATCTTCCTCTTTTTGCTTGAGGAAGATTCACCCTGAGCTAACATCTGTGCCAGTCTTCCTCTATTTTGTATGTGGGTCGCTGCCATAGCATGGCTGGTGAGTGATATAGGTCCATGCCCGGGATCCGAACTTGTGAACCCAGGCCGCTGAAGTGGAGCACACTGAACTTCACCACTAGGCCATGGGGCTGGCCCCTCCACTGGCATATTTTAAATCAAATACAAGACATAAAATTTTATCCATAAACAATTCAGTTTATATCTCTAAAAGATAATGATTGTATTTTGTAACCTAAATGTAATACCATCATCACACTTAATGCATTTGAAAATGTTTTCAATATCGTCTAGTCAATGTTCAATTTTCCCCAGTTGTTTTTACTTTTATTTTTTATGCCTTATTGAGGTATGATTGTTATACAAAACCTCTACATTATTAACGATATGATATTGTGCAATTTAAAATATATTGAGGGTAGATCTCATAAAGCAACCAAAAACAAAACACACATATGCACAAAAGAGCACAAGAAAATTTTTAGAGGTGACACATACGTTTAGTACCCTGATTGTGGTGATGGTATCATGGTGTATGCATATGTCCAAACTCATGAAAATATATACATTAAATATGTGTAATTTTTTGTATACTGTAAATTTTATTATCCCTGTATTTAAAACTGGTACAACTTAATCGAAATCTTAATATTTCTTCAGTAGATGTGCAGATGAAGTTAGAATGAAAACTAAGTTGATGTAATAAAAGAACTCCAATATCAGCTGCTTATAAAAAAAATTGTTGAATGGTATAGGTTGGCAGGTGACTTGAGATCATTCATGAACTGAATTCTTTCCATCTTGTTGTTCCCGTTTCCTCTGTTATTTTCCTCAGCTACAAGGTTGAGCAGGGTTGTAGTCATATCCATGTTCCGGCCAGCAGGAGGGGAAAGAGAGCATGGAGGAGCACACGCCCAAAGTCTAAGGCCCAGATTTGGAAGTGGTAGATAGCCCTCTACTCATATTGCATCGACAAGAGCAAAGTCAATTGGTTGAATTTATCTACAAGGGAGGCCCAGAAATATGATCTCTAGGTGACTAGTCATGGCCCAGCTGCTCCACTGTAGGAGAAGGGGAAAACAGATTGGTAACAAATTGCATTTTTCTGCCACAGTCCAGCCCTCTGGCCTTCCAGATATTCCTGCAGCCCCTACTTCTCACACATAGAATCTTTTACTCCCGCCCCATGAGAGAGGATACATAACCAGTCCAGTTACTGAAGCTACCTTAATGTCTGGGATTTCTGGGTGATGTGCAGTTTTCTCATTTTGGCTCTGATGTGGCTCTTCATGGTCCAGCAATCTGTAAACTCAGAAGAGATCTGCTTCTCCTGATATATAGAGATGGAACAAGAACAAGATCAGTGAAATAAAGACTTCCTTTCAGAAAAGGGAGAACCAGGAAACACACAGCAGTCCCTAATCAGTAGCAGGTATGCTGCTGAGCAAAACTTGCGAAGACTTTCTTCATACTGAGGTCTTGGAGTAAATTTCATGGTTAGCTCTTCTGGGTGCTGCCCTTTCTCTGTTTTCTGGGAGAAATCCCTTGTCCCTTGTCCTCTGTGGGCCCTAGCTCTGCCTTCTGGGAGGTTCTTCCTTGTCTGTTATTCTCCAAAGTCACAGGTAAATTGGATGTTTTTGAGAGTATGCCCTCTGTAGAGGCAGCTTAAGGGCAGGAACAATTATGAGTTTTAGCCAGCTGGGCTTTTGGGGTCTTGGGTAGTACAATTCCCTCAAAACCTTGGTAGGTTTCTGGTATGTTTGTTGCCAGCCACTTCCGTATGTCAGGAACCATCTCCAAAGTTATTTTCTGGACATAAAGTTCTTAACCCTCCGTTATTTCTAGACTCACAATTCTCTATCTCATTTTAATGCTGCTACCTCAAAGCCATCTGAAATAATAGTCTTGGATGGAAGTATAATATCCTCAATCTGACCTGTACTCCAGGACTGGATCTTTTTTTCTTTTTTCCTCATTGGGAGGTCTTTGAGAAAAGTTTTATGTCTTGCTGTTTGATATAGAGAAACAATTGGCTTCTCCACACTTGGGAGGTGCCAAATATCTAGACACTCTCTTTTCCCTTCCATCTGTGTTCATAAATTGGCTAATTCTTGCTTGACCTCATCTCTTTCTTATAATACCTTACTAAAAGCATTAAGCAGCTGCCAGTATGTGCTGAAATTTTGGCTCTTCTCTATTGCTTCACCTAGAAGGCTCCATAGTTACATGGTGTACTTTCTAAATTATCATAGATGATTGCTCTATCAGATGTTTTGCCACAGCATGAGAAAAATCACAAAGTTTCTAGCCTGAAATATGTTTACTCACCACCTAGTACCCAACCACTAAACCAGTACCATATAATTTAGGTATTTGTTATAGCAGCACCTGCCTCCTGATAGCAATTTTTGTCTTAGGGATAGGCTAGGCTGCTGTGACAAAGACACTATAAAATAACACTGGCTTTAAAAAACCCACAGAATTTATTTCTTTCATATCACAGTCCTTACATTCAGATTGGCTTGTGCCTCTGCTCCATATGGTCATTCAGGTACCCAGATTTCTTCCATTTTGCAGTTCTACCATTGCCTAGGGTGTCGTCCTCATCTTTAAGGCTGAAGCTGATAGTAGACACCTGTTTTTCTGCTAACAGGAAGGGGAAAGATCATGGAGGAATGTATAACCACTCTGTTAAGCCCTAAACTCAGAAGGTAGCACACATCACTCCTGTCAGATTCCGTTGGCATGTTCTAACTCACGTAGTCATGCCCACATGCAAGGGAGACTTGGGAACTGTGGTCTCGAGGTGAGCCACCATCCCAGCACAACTTTATTACCATGGAGAGTTTGGTGAACAGCTGGCACTCTCCATCATAGCACCTTTAATACTTATGTTACTTGTTCAATATATTATAACTCTGGAATTTATTATGCTTTACATTTTTTAATTCTTATTTTTAATTGGGCCTGAATGGCTGTTAATTTTACGATTCCTGAATTAATGTGTTCAGTTTCAGTTTATCTTTTTTTTTTTAAGATTATATATTTTATATAAAAGACTTGCTGAATTAAAGACATAAGAAATGAAAATTTACTTGATTTTCTTATTTATGTTTGGTTTTATTCTATTGAATTTAACCAAAAAAAAAAAAGCTGACTTTGTCAGTACCTTTTGTGCTAGTGATCTAGTATCAACTCATAAGGCTTTTTAAAAAACTCATGGGGAGGGCCGGCCCCGTGGCTTAGCGGCTAAGTGCGTGCTCTTCACTGCTGGCGGCCCGGGTTCGGATCCTGGGCGCGCACCAACGCACCGCTTTTCCAGCCATGCTGAGGCCACGTCCCACATACAGCAACTAGAAGGATGTGCAGCTATGACATACAACTATCTACTGGGGCTTTGGGGGAAAAATAAATAAACAAAGAAAAACCTAAAGTCTTTAAAAAACAAACAAACAAACAAACAAACAAAAAAAAACTCATGGGGAGTGTGAACACAGTCCTATTTTATGAATTTAACACTAATTTTTTTCATAATGCAAATATGAACTCTACTGTTAGAGAAGAAGCATTGTGTGATTTTTTAATATAATTTTTAGCAAAATGACCCTGCTTTGCATCATTAAGGGCAGACATTACAGTCTCTGCTTTTAAAAGGAAATATGAATTGTATAAGTCATACTTTATTTACTGTGGCTCTTCTATTAAAAAATGAGTATGATTCTTTAAAAAAAATATTGAGGTAACACTTCAAGGATCAAGTCAGTTATAGCCATGTTTAAAAATACACTATGAATAGAAAATTTAAGTTTGATTTTTGTTATCTGTGTTTACCTTTAGAAACCTTTAGAATGGCAGTATATTTCTGTCTTCTATAAGGATGACAATATTCCTTGGTCCTAATTATACAAAATTTATAAAATGATCTTGTTTAATCCATTTTCAGATAAAAAACTGATGCTTATAATGCTAAACTGAGAGTGAAGGATGTGAAGCTTGGTAGTTTAGAAATTGAAGAATGTATGCCTTCTATGGACCTAGCAAAACACCACGTGTCTTACCAACACATGTTCACCATTTATCATCTTCCTTTGTTCCTCAAAGCTATGGCTGACTGTCCTTCTAGCATACAGCTGCTTTGCGACCATGGGGCCTCGGTGAATGCCAAAGATGTAGTAAGTCAAAACATGTTTATTCTCATTTCAACTCAAGTATTCTAACTTTTGTGTTTTGGGAGATTTGTTGTCTTAATGCTGTTTCATTTTTCTTGTTGCTTAGGATGGGCGGACACCACTTGTTCTGGCTACTCAAATGTGCAGGCCAACAATATGTCAACTGCTGATAGATAGAGGGGCGGATATTAATTCCAGAGACAAACAAAACAGGTAATTAATTCTTTTATCACAGCTCCCCAGATGCCAGCTGGATGCACAGTGATTCTGAAACACTGCTGCTGTGACTTGGCCCTTCCATCCTCATGGTTCTCCCCTTCCTTGGAATTAGCACCCACTTCTTATTTTTCTTCAGAGTCTACTGAAGAAGGAAGGAGAGGGAAATAGGGGAAGATGACAGGCTAACTGCGGAATACAAGCAGTGATTAGGGCCTATGTTCAAGTCAAAGAACTGAAGAAAGAGGAATTATATCTCAGTTACTTTAAGCTTTAAAAAAGTCTTTAATGAAATGGTCTCAAATAAGATATGTGGAAGAAGAATAAAACATTACATGTACCGTCTGCTTCTTCGTTAGTGATTCTTTTGAGAGTAAAGTGGGTCTTGGCTATCCTGGAGGTTGACGTGTTTCAATATAGATTTTCTCAAGGTCTTTTCTCTCCTTACCCTGCCCGGGCTCAACGCCACCGCCTTCTCTGAAATTGAGATCATCTCTGTACCCCAAGATTCCCTTAGTTTATTTTTGCTTCTGTCTTTGCAACATCTTTGATGTTATTTTAGTCAGCGTGCACTCATACTTTGTATCTGTAATTCTCCCTTTCCCCTTCTGTAGCTCTAGTGTATCATGGTGCTTGCTATATTATAATTCTAATGTTTATGGTCACAAAATTTCTGACACCAAAGTATCTGAAATACATCCCCTTCATTAGTTTTGAAGCATTACAAAAATTTATAACAAGTTTCTGGGATTTTATAGATGATTACTAGTAAAATTGTTATTTTCTTTTGGCTTAATTTTATTCTTCTAAACATATATTCTATTGTTTTTAGTTCATTGCAAATAGATAAGTATAATAAAATAATATTTAGACACCAGATTTTATAACTCTAATTGTTTTTATTGTTCAAGCATCTCAAAGGAGGAAATTCTTAAACAATTAAATCATTAACAGGATTATTAAGAAAGTGGTTTTTTTGTATTACTTTGTTTTTGCAGGTGGTGTGGTCTGGTTCCAAATATGACTAAGAAAATTTGATTTACAAATAAATTTTAGGATCAGAGAGGGATGATCTGGTTGATCCATGTATAATGCCTTATTTTTTTTTATGGATCTTATATTTTTCCAAGTACGTTTGTCTCTATTTTTTCTCACTGGGCCTTCACGAAAAAAACAGTGAGATAGGGCAATGTGTATTATACAGACTAGATAGCAGATGATGTTAAAAATAAGTTAAAATCTTAGTTTCTGACACTCTGTATTCAAGTTTCTTTTTTTTTTTCTTCCTGTCCTATCTATAGCATTTTTTTCCCTAATAAAAACTTTGTTAATGCCTATTGTATATAAAATTGTATTCTGTCAACTACTGGGGAGTATAAAAGAGAAATAAAACATACATAGCGGAGTAAAGACAAGAATCTTTCCTTATGAAATCCAGTGCATATTCACAATCGAAGACAGAGTTAGATACTGCAGGATAAGTCATTTCATTTCATTAGGTGTGGTTTTCTTCAGTGGTAAAAGTAGAGAATTGGACAAAATAATTTCTAGGGTCCTTTTAAATTTCTATGATGATTTAATTGTTTTGTTACATTATTACTATTTGCCGATATACTGTTAAATGCTTAAGTGCTGATTATTCTATCATGGCAGAATAAACAAATGGTCCATGATAATGGGATTAATTGAGGAAGGTTTATTTGAGGAGGTGAGTTTTGAAATTAAGGGTGAAGATGTGAATGTCTCCGGGTAGGAGAAGGAAGGCTCTTCTAAGGAGAGATATCAGGAACAGGAATCTGATTCTTGTTCTGGAGCAGAAGGGATTCACCTAGGGAGTTCTGCGTGGTGTGTTCATTCATGAAAGGACTTGAATAGTTTGGTAATTTACTTGTAGGACATAGAAGGACTGGAATAAAGAAGGTTAGTTTGGTAGTAGAAGTAACAAAGGTATATGAGGTGATATAAGATTTTAGCTCTGCAAACTAAGACACAAAGCAAATGTTTTTATGAATGTGATAAAGTTAAAATATAAGATAAAAATATGAAGTAAAATCTGTATCTGTAACAAGAATGACTTTTTTTTTTTTTTTTTTGGTGAGGAAGATTAGCCCTGAGCTAACGTCCATTGCCAATCCTCCTCTTTTTGCTGAGGAAGACTGGCCCTGGGCTAACATCCGTGCCCATCTTCTTCTCCTTTATATGGGACGCCACCACAGCATGGCTTGACAAGTGGTGCATCGGTGCGTGCCCGATATCCGAACCTACAAACCCGGGGCCACCGAAGCGGAGTGCGCGAACTTCACCACTACGCCACCAGGCCGGCCCCAAGAGTGACTTTTTAAAGCAGTATCTGTTCTTTAAGAAGGGGGGCCTCTGAAAGACTTCTGAAATATTTTCTTGGATCTTTCTCAAGGTCTCTTATTACTCTGTCTTTTCTTTTAGAACTGCTCTCATGCTAGGTTGCGAGTACGGTTGCAAAGATGCAGTAGACGTCTTAATTAAAAATGGTGCTGATGTAAGCTTGCTGGATGCCCTTGGCCATGATAGTTCTTACTATGCAAGAATTGGTGACAATCTGGACATTCTAACCTTATTGAAGACTGCATCGGAAAATACCAACAAAGGTACCAGCAGTTTTCTGTAGCTAGAAAAGTCCTGGTTAACGAAGAGCAGCTTTTAAAGATTTAGGTGGTAGAACTACAATTTATAAGAGGCAAAATGTTCCTTCTGATAAACAGCATTGGTTCTTCTCCCTCTATGCCATGGCTTTGTGTATTTACATTGTAGTCACTTGTTTTGAGGCAGTGTGTGTTGCATATATTGTCTGGTTTATCGAGTAAACCATACTATAGTGTGGATTCATTTAAGAACTGAGGAGAAAGAGTCAAATCAAGTGTTTTACTAATATATATATACACGTGTATATATGTATATATATATTTTATAAGGAGGGGTGAAGCTCTTTTGTACTTAGTTTTATTTTTATTTTTATTTTTTTTTTTATTATTTTTTATTTTATTTTATTTTTTTGTGAGGAAGATCAGCCCTGAGCTAACATCCGTGCTAATCCTCCTGTTTTTGCTGAGGAAGACCGGCTCTGAGCTAACATCTATTGCCAATCCTCCTCCTTTTTTTTCTTCCTCCCCAAAGCCCCAGTAGATAGTTGTATGTCATAGCTGCACATCCTTCTAGTTGCTGTATGTGGGACGCGGCCTCAGCATAGCTGGACAAGTGGTGCGTTGGTGTGCACCTGGGATCCGAACCCGGGCCGCCAGTAGCGGAGCGCGCGCACTCAACCACTAAGCCACCGGGCCAGCCCCTGTACTTACATAGTTTTAAAGAAAGAATCATTATTTAAATGTGTATATAAAATATTCAACCAATATTTATTGAATACCTGTGCCAAGTATTTTTCTATGTTTATTAAAGAGAAATTGGAAAATACAGAAAAGCACAACAAATAAAATTAGTCACTCATCCTACCACTGAGGAGCTTCAGTTAACATTTTGAGGGATATCCTTCCAGTCTTTCCCTATGCATAAAATTGAGGTCACTTGAGTGAGCTGTGGATTATTTTTTGTGTAATGTATTTTGAAGGCTTTTCCCTCAGAAATAAATATTTTTTCTACAGTATGATTTTTATTGATGCATAAAATTATATCTGTTTTAGTTTAATTTAAGCAATTTTCTGTAGGTGTCATTGAAGTTGTGTACAGTTTTTACCAGTATAAATAACAATTTAATGAATAAAAATTTTAGCATATTTTTATTATACCCTCAGGATCAATTCCTAGAAATTGAGTCATGAAGTTCCAGGGTATGCACACTTTATTGACAAATTGCCTTCCAATTTAGCAGAGTTTTAAATTTGACATTTTTTACCTGCCTCTCCCTAGCATTGAATATTTTCTACCTGGATGTTGTCATAGCAAAAAATCTTTGCCAGTTTGAAAGGCAAAAATGATATTTCACTTTTGTTTTAACTGTAAAGTAGTAGTAGAGTTCTTTTAGAGGAACCTTTAAAATGTATTTCTTTAAAATTGACTCAGTTGTATAGTTAGGGAACACGTATCCACCCAAGTTAACCTGCTGTTTCACTGTTCCTCTTTCTCCTCTCTTTCTCTCCCTTTAAATCTTCAGGGAGAGAACTTTGGAAGAAAGGACCATCTTTACAACAGGTAGGTATTAATTTTAAAAAATTGTATATATTGTGCAATTTAAGTAAAGTGCTTGCTCAGACTGGTTAATGTTTATACATAACTGTTTTGACTTTAAATGCATGCTGTTCTCTTCAGTTCATTGTGCCCTTGTAGAACTTAGGTACTAAGATCTTGAGGCTTTATCTTGATACCGTCACTCAGCTTGAGACAGTGGATCTTAATTACAATGAATGTATCCACAGGGAAATAAATAGCCTCCTGATTGCTGGCCTTGAATATCCAGCCCTTTGAAGTATAAGATACTGCACCTCGTTGAGATTCTTTTTTTTTCCCCCCCCCAAAGCCCCAGTAGATAGTTGTATGTCATAGCTGCACATCCTTCTAGTTGTTGTATGTGGGACACTGCCTCAGCATGGCCAGAGAAGCAGTGTGTCGGTGCGCGCCCGGGATCCGAACCCGGGCCGCCAGCAGCGGAGTGCGCGCACTTAACCGCTAAGCCACGGGGCCGGCCCTTGAGATTCTTAAATGATGAATTTTAGCCTGGCAGATCATAGACAGTTTGCCCCTATTCTCCCTTAATAACAGAACCAAATATTTACTGTTATGGGAAAATTCTTCCAATGCAGTAAGAAATGAAGAAAACAGAATTCAAAACTGGTTGTGTATTGTGATTTCAATACCACTGTTAGCGCTTTCTTTTTTTTGCTGTGTGTATTTAATTAATGAGGATTTTACTTAAAAAAAAAAAACACACACAATACATGAAATAATTCCTAGCTTACACTAATTTTATTATCAAATCACTGTTTAACCCTGGTTTTGTGTCCCAGTCTCAGTAAATGTCTTATCATTTTCCCCTCATCTCTTCGAGTGAAAGTAAGTGGGGTTGGTTTACGGCACTCGCACCATCTGCTCAAAAGCTAGTGTGGGCAGCTCTCCTCTTCTGCTGGCCATTCCTTTCCAAGCTTTCAGCTTTTCTCTAGTGAGAGGAACCTGAGCACTGAAGAGAAAGTCATCAGGTACCTTCTGAGCAATTCTGATCATCATTCTGCATCATTTCTCTACCTCTCACCTGATTCTAACAGCTATATTAAAGTATGTTTTCCTTTTTAATCCATCACAGTTAAGTAATAGGTTCATGCATGGGTCATGTCTGCTGTCACTTTTCTTTTCCATCTGGAGCAACTGTTTCAACCTTTTCTCCCATTCCTCAGATAACCTAAGTAGGGGTAGAGTGAAATAAAATGTACACTGTTATGTCTGTACCAGCTATCTCACACAGAATCCGAGAAAATGATTCCTGAAATATACAGATATTTAAAATAAGGAATTATTGAATATTACTATGGGAATGATATTCTGCTTAGTGCTCTAGGAGTTATCTAAACGAACACATGGAGTTAATTTTCTGCTAGGAACAGTAAACTCATTTGTTTCCATTATTTATTAAGTATATTTTAAAATATCTGCTGTAAGTGGGATTTGTTCTTGTACTAAGGGAGGTGTAATCCCTGTTATCAAGAGGACTACAGTATAGTTTAAAAAATAAGATTTACTCAGTTATTTGCTTAACAGATATCTGTAGAGCACCTACTATATGCCAGTTACTGTTCTAAGTGCTGGGGATATCATGGTAGTCAAAGTCCCTGCCCTCATGGAGCTCCCAGCCTCGTGAGAGAGATGAGCAATAAGCACATTAGTATCATAGCAGATGCTTTGAGGAAAAGTGGCACAGGATTAGGGGATGAAGAGGGAGAGGGCAGGAACCTGTTTTAGATTGTGTGGTCAGCAAAGGCCTCTCTCAGGAAGTGACATTTGAGCAGAGGTCTCAAGGACGTGAGGAGGGAGCCACGGGGCTCTGTGGGAGGAGCCTCGCAGGTGGAGGGAAGGGCAAGTACCAAGCTGCTGATGAGGGAGCATTTGAGCATGTCCATGGGCAGTAGAAGGCCAGAGCGACAGGAGTGATGTGCACATGGCAGAGCAAGAGAAGAGATGGGTGAGGTGACCAGGTGCCACATTATGAAGGACCCTCTGAAGGGAAGGCGGGGGTGAAAGTGGTATGATGAGACTGGCCAGATTCCATGTGAAGAACAGTCCTTTGGTGGAAGAAATGAGGCTAGAAATGTAGTTGAGCCAAATTGTGGGTACAGAATGTCTTCTTAATGGGACCTTGTCCCTCTCATTCTAAATGCAAACTCATTAGCATTATAGTTTAAACACTTGGTTAAACAAATTCCACAAATAATACAAAACAGAAAAAAATTTTCCTGGAGAATTAAAGCATTAGCTTTTTTTCTTTTTAAGCTCTCGGAAAGGAAGAAAGAAATAGCTTTCTAAATTATTGCGCAGATTTAAAGGGGAATTTGGGCAAAAAAAGGTTATTTGCTCTCTTGTTTAATAATTGTGTTGTGTTTTTATTAAAGCAAATCTCTAAGCTGGAGTAAAGTTTCAAAGCAGTAAGTGTACAAAAACAGAACACATACCCGACTAGGTCATTTAGAGATCTTTTATAAAGCTCTGGTCAGAGGATTGTCTGTCTCTTTCTTACCACACCCCTTGATATTTTTTTTTCATCAGTACTCAAAGAAATAAATAATTTTTGTATTTTCTTTCAACATTAATGTAACTCCCCCTCTTCTTTCTTTTAAAGACTAAATTCTTCCTTTGGGAATGGTTGATAATGCTTTATAGCACAACTTTAGTTTTGTGTCTAGTACAAATTCTTCTTTTGAAAATTTGGTGACTTTAGTTAAAATAAATCTTAACAATAAGGATTTTAAATTTTGTTATTTTTTAGTATTTTAAGATAAATTACACTTGATTTATTTAAAACCTATAATCCTTGGGCCGGCCCTGTGGCTTGGTGGTTAAGCGCGCGCGCTGCGATGCTGGTGGCCCGGGTTCGGATCCCGGGTGCGCATCGAGGCACCACTTCTCCGTTCATCCTGAGGCCGAGTCCCGGATGCAGCAACTAGAAGGATGTGCAGCTACGGCATACAGCTATCCACTGGGGCTTTGGGGGGAAAAATAAAATAAATAAAATCTTTAAAAAAAAAAAAAATAAATAAATAAAACCTATAATCCTTGAAGATGCTTTCCATTTGGAGTTCTAAGAGGAAACACTGCCACCTTGTGTTATGTACAGTAAAATTTAATGTTGGATAAGCTGAAAATCTCTAATTGGGTATATTACTTATTGAAGAAAATGTACTCTTCTATATTCTCATTCTTGCTAACCTGTGTTCTTTTACGTTTTACAAAGCGAAATTTGACACACGTGCTAGATGAAGTAAATATGAAGTCAAACCAGAGAGAGCATCAAAACATTCAGGTAAAAAGAAAAAAAAAATAATATCTTCCTTTGCAAATAATTCCAGTGTTATTTGTAGTGGGGTGGGGGGAAGAGAGGGAGCAAAAACATGGCGGAAAGGAGAGGCAGCTTGTTCTGTTTTGTGATTCAATTTTCTTGCCCAGTTCTTTCAAGAGGAATCGACTCTTGATATGAATGTTTGCGTCAGTATTATCTTACAGAAAATATTGTTTTAATATCTATTAGGAAGCAAATAATTTAACAATTTTATATAACTTTTTGTTGATTTAAATATATCTGTTTTGGGCCGTAAATCTGTATTCATTTTAGAAAATTAATTATAGTGATAAAAATGATAGTTATTAATGTAAATAAAATAAAACCCGAACTTCTTCTTAGAGTATGTTTTATTTTGATTAAGAAAAAAAATTTTGTTAACCACACAGCACTTTTTACCTTTTATATTTGTCAAAGTGTGCAAAAAATAATTATTATGTGGATTATATTGGAGGAAGATCCCATAGTTAAATGGTTTATTTTATGACTGAAATACCATTAGAATATAAATTGAATAGCTGTTTTCCATATGATAAAACAAAAGCATTTTTTTTGGGTTTTCATAGTTTACTATGTGCTGTTAAGAAAGTGAACGTTAGCCTTAAATTAGAGCCTTAAATGTTTTATCAGAGCACTGAAGTGATGATTAGTTTAACAAAAGCATTAGAATAGACTAATACACTTGAGAGATGTTAAGCAAAAGTTAAAATGGCATATTCTTCTGTTTTCTATTTTTAGATGATGCTTTTTTAGTATTAGAATCATGATGGTTTGCAGTGTTGTATATATTTGTATTCGTTAGATATCATAGGACCATAAATTTTTATATTATTTCTGGTCTATAGATTTTAAATCATTTGAATGTCATTGAAATTATTGCATCTTTGTACTTAAAGCTGTTTTATATATGTATATATCTGTATATGATAGCGAACTGCTTTTAAAAATGTCTTCCATAAGAACTGCTCTTTTAAGATTGGTGTAGCCCCTGTTATCTTTACTATTTAAGGATCTGGAGATTGAAAATGAAGATTTGAAAGAGAGGTTGAGAAAAATTCAGCAAGAACAGAGAATATTATTGGATAAAGTCAATGGTTTACAACTACAGCTGAATGAGGTAAATAATCTGCATAATACAAAAAAATCCAAACTATTTTACTCCCAGTAATCATCATCCATAACAAATTGTTAATGCTCACCTGTCACATCAGGTCATGGTGCTGGGTGCTAACGGAGATGAAATCAGGTCATTGCCCTTGAGGAAAGTTATATCTTACTGGGACCTTTACATGACACCTTTAATGTCAAGTGTAAGAACAGAGAATACTGTTGATGCGTGGTAATAACAAAGGACTGAACTAGAGTTGGGGCTATGAGATTGGAGAGGAAGGAGTAGACAAAAGATGTGAGGTGCAAGAGCAATGGAGTTGGCAATAGATGGTTTCTCAGAAGAATCAAAAGTGCTTCTGAACCTGGTTAGTGAGAAGAGGGAATGACAATTCAGACAACAGAATTGGGAGTACATAGACATTGTCTTCTCACGTCCTGTCCCCAATCTTAAAGACGTGTGCCAGTCTTTTAAAAAGATAGTTGCCAAGCTCATGCCTTTCAAAGCAAACTTTCAAGATTGAAAATACATTTCTTCTTCTTTTTAATTTAGGAAGTAATGGTTGCTGATGATCTGGAAAGTGAGGTAGGATGATAAATTTTACTTTAAAGCTGTGAAATGTAAATTGAACATGATATTGCAGAAGATGTTTATGTCCCAAATTGAGATGGAGACCAGGATTCTATTGCTGCTCAAAGGGAAAAACAAAACCTACATGTAACTGTAAAAGTATATTTTGAGTATAGTGGCATGGGTTGTCATAGGTATTTTGTTGTTATTGCCTCTGAATGTCTCATTTTATGTGAAACTTTTCATGAAAAGATATAAAATTCCAAACACTATAAAGTAAATGTCTGAAAATAATAAGATTTAAAACAAACAATAGAAATTTGAATTTTTCATAATATCATTTGTATATATTGTATATTTTATTAGTATATTTGTAGAAATTTTCAACTCTACTAACAGTTAAAAATCTACCAGGTTAGATAATTTATTAACTGCAGTCCTCAAAGTAATTCTAACTTACATTTTCTAAAACACATTTCTAATCCAGTTTCAAGCACAGGGTGATTTTGCTCTGTATTTATTTCTTTTCATTTCAGAAAGAAAAGCTGAAGTCCCTTTTGGCAGCTAAAGAAAAGCAACATGAAGAAAGCCTGAGAACTATTGAGGTTCTGAAAAATAGATTTAAATATTTTGAGGTATAGAAAGCTTAAATTATTTCATGTAACTCATAATAGGCAATAGTAAGGGGCTTGGAGTCACACTTGAATTTGAATTATCACTCTCTTCTTTATATTGTGACCTCGGGCAGTTTATTTAAAGTCTCTGAGCTTGTTGCTGCTTCTGCAGAATCGAGGTGGTCGTCCCTTTCTCCACAGAGTTGTTATAAAGGTTAAATGAGGTAATTGAAATTGACTAGCATTTAGTTCAGTTCTGATTTCTCTTCCCCAGCTTTCCTCTTTGTCCATCTTCTTACTTGTACCAGTAAATTTGGAATGATTATGATGGTGATAATAACAAAGCGTCATATTGGTGGTATTTCCGGGATTATCTCAGAAAGGATTTTGTGCATATCTGGATTAACTAGAACACTTGTTTTGTGAGAGTAGTGTGTTAATAAGGCACAGATCATATACTCATCTTTGGTTGGATCAGTTAGCTCTTAGTCTTTCCAAGGCCATGGATTTTTTTAAACTTTTTATTGAAATACAATATACATTAAAAAGTACACAGGTTAAAGTGTATAAGTTTAAGAATTTTCTCAAATTGAGCACACCCAGCTCAAGAAACAATGTCACTGTTACCCAGAGGCATCCTCATACTTGCTTCCTGTCCCTACCCACACTCACCACATCAAGAGTGACCACTCTCCTGACTTTTAATTGCAAAGGTTTGTTTGCAAGGCCATAATATATATTTTATAAATGTTGTTCATCACTAGGGGGTTACTGAAGAGGGTGGCTGTTTCAATATGACTCATTTATCTTTATTAGGGAGTACAACTCCAAAGTACTTAACAAAAGTAATTTTTTTTCTTTATAAATAAAAAAAATGTGGTCGGCTATGAAAAAGAATATAAAGACATGGATGAATTTCACAGACAATGTTGCATGAAAGAAATCAGACACAGAGTACATAATGCATGATTCCATTTTTACGAAGTTTAGAATCCTACAAAACTGATCTGTGATGATGGAGGTCAGAATAGAGGCTGTCCTTTGGGGAAGGATTACTGACTGGGATGGGGCATGAAGAAGCTTCTGAGCGTGCTGGAAATGTTCTATGTCTTGATCTGGGTTGTGATTACACAAGGTGTACATATCCAGAAGTTCATTGCACTGTACACTTAATGTGTACTTTATTGCAGGTGAGTTATGCCTTGATACATTTTAAAAAATAAAACAAAAAAAGCGTGTTTAAATTTATATGACTGAATTCTGAAGATTACTCAGAAACAGTTTTATAAGCTAAAGAATAATCTGTTATAGTGCCTTCTATCTTTTTCACATTTGAAGGGTTTTTTAAGGTTAACAGTGAAACTAGTAATAGCTAACATTTTCATAGCACTGGCCATGTGCCAGAAACCACTCTGTGTACTTTACATGCATTTAATAAACACATCAATTCTCTATGGTAGGTTTTATTATTATCTCTACTTTATAAGTGAGGAACCTGAGGCACAGAGCATTTACCCATGAAGGGTTTTATAAATACTAAGCGGCAGAGCCAGATCTTGAACCCAGGCAGTCTGGCTCCTTTGTGCTCTTAACTATAGTACTAGTTTTATGCTCAGAATAGCTTGAATGAGAAAGTATAGAGGCATATACGGGCCCTTTGAAGTACTCATCAAAGTTTGACGCCTATAATTGGGTACTCTTTATGTTATTACTTTTCTTCTAAGAGTAGACTTTCATGTCTTAAGAATAAGGTGTTTTTCTGTAACTTTAGACAGACTTAGAGGCAAGTCTGTAACTTTCCATGAGGTTATAATAAACTATAGAAAAATAACTTTATTATTATTGTTATACATAATTATTTTTATTTAAAGTAGTATATATTTATTTCAGAAAAATTAGAAAATATAATTAAACTAAAAGCAGAAAATAAGCACACCTATAATCCCAGCACTCTTAGCACCTGGCTCGTATCCTTTCAGACCTTTCTTTGTGCATAACTTGTGTTACATACATATTCAACAGGTAGGAATATTGTACATCCTGTTTTGTAACTTTTTTCACTCAATATAGTGGGGACGTTTTCCCCAGTCAGTACGTATTCTTTATGATGAATTTTTATACTAGAAATGATTTTTTACTTTCAAAAAGAAAATTATGGGGCCCACTTCATATGTGACCCAGTATTTATGAAAGCAGCCATTAAAAACTAAGAATTCATCATTTACAAATACTGTATATCCACTGTGTCGTCTCACATGCTTAAAAATCTTCATAAACTGCCAACAGAATTGCTGTGTTATGTGTAATACTTAATAGGTAGGCATTTCCTTTGTGTTTATAGGAAAAATATGGGAAAATATGGATATTTTAGAACTTGTGAGGCTAATTTTACATTATAACTCATGCATTTGTTTTCATTTGAGTGATTAAGGAAAGGTAATAAACCCAAACTAAGTTTTTTGAACTCCTTATGTGCGTAGGCCACCCCCAACCGTACATGCATGAGCCCATTGAGTAACTATTGCAAACTCTAGTATTAAATATTACATAGAACAAAGAGCTTAACTAAGTTTACAGACATTTTTCCATACCCTTGGGGCACTAAGAATTAGCAGAGGTGGCATTAATTTATTTATAGGACTGTGGACCGTTCTTATCGTAGTATCTAGATCAGAGTTTGACGCGTGGCTGTTAGTACTGATACACACAAATATACAAACATGAACTACATCTACATCTCTTTACTCTTGAAATTATAATATTTTAGTTGATATGTTAGATTCTTTGTATTTGGCTTACTTGGAAAAAAGGAGCAACCCAAATATATTTTGATTCAGAGCATCTAGATTTTCTCTATTATTCTCTTTCTCCTAACTGATGCATTGATGGATTTATTACTGTGTGTAGGTCTTTGTCGCAATTTCATTTCCTGCTCTTTGTCTCATTTTACCTTCAAAAGTAATCAGTATTCTATAAATTCTGATAAAAGGGGTTATGTGGCTATATCACAATGAAGTAGGCTTTCCGTTCCCAACAGTGGTAAAGTGAGTACTTGATGGGAATGTGGCATTTCCTTCGTTTTGAGGCAGAGAAGCAGCGGAGAGTATGCATTGAAAGGTGTTTCAGTTCATTTGGACCTCACTTTTTTTCTTATGAGCAATAAAATTTTTCCTTGATACACTCGGCTGCTTTTATTAAAATGCCTCGTGAAGTGGTTTATTCCCAACTGATCTCTCTAATTGTTGCTAGTGCTGTGTCCTTTTGTGGGTTCCAGTAGAACAATACTCAGGAGAAACAAGGAATGTTGAAAATGTGGTTTTAATGACTGTATCCTTTAGAGCTAAAATAGATATAGAATTTAACAAAATAAAGCAATATTCACCTAAAATGTTTTAATTATACTTCTGATTTCAGAGTGATCATTTAGGATCAGGAAGTCATTTCAGTAACCGTAAGTATAAAAGTATAGATTATCATTACAGTTCACCCAGTTCAAGCAAAGAATAATATTTATGCCTATTTATTCTGTCTAACTGTATATGATACTCCTGCTGCTAAACTTCATCCGGCTACTTGTGTGTTATACTCAATACATGCAACCAAGAAGAGGTTGAGATGACTACTATAGCCTCTAAAAGAATCTGGTAATCACTGAGGCTCTGATTTTCCTTAGCCACTTATATTTTTAAATTGTATATTGTATGAATTACCAAATTTGCCTTGTCGATTAGTGGACATTTATCTTGTGATATTTGGGGCTTGTTTTTTATGGAAAGAAACATAAGATTTGGAGATATCTTTGGATATAGTCTCAATGCAGGTAGACATTTTAAAATTAATTAGAAGTTCCGTAAGTAATTATTTATTACTTATTTTAAGACTATACATAATTAATCTTCACTTTTGTTTATTATTCACTCATTTTAAATAATTTCTCTAGAAAATCTATTTTTTTGCTTCCCAGTGAATATTAAATTACATTCTAGCTAATTACAACAGTAATATTTATCCTTTAAATTGCAAAAGAACACCATTTTTATTTTAACTGATGGTAAGATACATATTTTATAATAATCATGTAGCTTATTTAGTCTAACAATCTTAGATATTTCTCAAAACCAACTTAGTCTCTATTCAGAAGAATATAGATTCTTTCCTTATGTATATAGAAATACTAAGGAAAAATATGGATATTTTAGAACAAGGATAATTTTATGTTGTAACTCATGCTTCTCTTTTGTTTGAATAATAAAGGAAAGATAATAACACCAAATTAATATGTATCCTACTTTGGTATGGATATTTAAGATATCATTTATTTGGATTTACTTAGGAAAAGAAGATATGCTTCTTAAACAAGGTCAAATGTACATGCCAGACTCACAGGTAATACTATTTTTTTTATTTTAAAAAATATTTATAAAAAATATTTGTGACTTTTTAGAAAGAGGAAAATAGCATTGTATATTTATCAAGTATATTTACATTGAATAAGGTTTTCATTATCAAAGAAAAGTTGGTCTTGCGTTCTTGAGAATAAAAAGAGATAAAAGCAGATGTTGCTGTTTCTGGTGCCCTCTAGAGTATTTTTGATAACAGTGGCTTAAATAAGGGATTTGAAATAAAATTTCATTGTCTTTGATAGTAAACCTCTATTCATTAACAGCAATCTGTTAACTCTTCATATTTGCTCTTATAAAGGGGAAGACAAGGATGAGTAAATCAAAAGTCATTTGTTTTGGCTTTGAAATGTGTTTTTCCTTGCATTGAAATATATATTCTGTGTTTTGGAAATTCACCTCAAAATAAAGAAAGCTTCCAAGAGGGATTGTTGTCTGATTTTCTTACTTGTTTATCTGCTCCTCACCTTTACTTTCCAGTAGATACAAGGTTTGCATTTCTAGTACCTCCTAGGGACTGCAGACCTGGTAAATATTTGGGCTTTTCTTTTTCTTACAACAGTAAAACCTGCCTATTAAGATAGTGCGATGTACTCATAGCCCATAGCTTTTATCAATGAATTAGTACTTGTAAAGATAATTTCTATGAAATATTATTATTAATAATAATTTCTATGAAATTATTTAGATTTAAAATTGCAATCTTTGTTTTTATTTAAGGGTTCTGATGGCTTTCTTTAGAATTTGAAGTTCTAAGCACATTATGTGCCATCAAATAGAAATAGTAAATGTGTTTTGATAAAGTTGATACTCATGTGTAGGTAGGTATTATGAATGAGGAAAGAAAGAGAAAATAGTACCCAGAGGCCACAACTATTTTCCTTCTTTGTTCTGCCAGAAATACACTTAAATAAATAGACTTTCAAAATGTCAGTGCTTAAGAGTGTGTTAAGGAAATCGTACTTAGAACTGTTTTTGTTACTTCAAAAATCAGTACCGTATTTTTCCAGCATAACTAGTCTGAAAACCCTTGACTACTGATGATATGTAAACTTTCTATAAGTTTGGCAAATAAGTGTCTTCTTGAGGCTTTTTTGATTGAGATATATATATTTTTTTTTTTTTTTTTTGCTTTTCAGTGTACTTCCCCAAGTATGCCAGCCCATATGCAAAGCCGATCCATGTTAAGACCACTGGAGCTATCATTACCCAATCAAACCTCATATTCCGAAAATGAAATTTTAAAGAAAGAGTTAGAAGCAATGAGAACTTTCTGCGATTCAGCAAAACAAGACCGACTCAAGCTCCAAAACGAACTGGCTCACAAGGTGGCAGAGTGCAAAGCTTTAGCCTTAGAATGTGAAAGGGTCAAGGAGGATTCAGATGAACAGATAAAGCAATTAGAAGATGCATTAAAAGATGTGCAGAAGAGAATGTATGAGTCAGAAGGTAAAGTGAAGCAAATGCAGACGCATTTTCTTGCCCTTAAAGAGCACCTCACAAGTGAAGCAGCGACAGGGAATCACAGGTTAACGGAGGAACTGAAGGATCAGCTGAAAGACATGAAAGCAAAGTATGAAGGTGCTTCAGCAGAAGTGGGAAAATTAAGAAACCAAATCAAACAAAATGAGATGTTGGTAGAAGAGTTTAAGAGGGATGAAGGCAAGCTGGTAGAGGAAAATAAGCGATTGCAGAAGGAGTTTAGTATGTGTGAAATGGAGCGAGAGAAGAAAGGAAGAAAGGTTACAGAAATGGAAGGCCAGTTAAAAGAATTGTTAGCAAAGTTGGCCCTTTCCATTCCTACAGAAAAGTTTGAAAACATGAAGAGCTTATTATCAAATGAAGTAAATGAGAAGGCAAAAAAATTAGTGGAGATGGAAAGAGAATATGAAAAATCACATGGTGAAATTAGACAGTTAAAGAGAGAACTTGAGAATTCTAAGGCCAAGCTTGCTCAGCATGTCAAACCAGAGGAACATGAACAGCTCAAGAGCAGATTAGAGCAAAAATCAGGAGAACTTGGGAAGAAGGTCACTGAATTAACATCAAAAAATCAGACGTTACAAAAGGAAATTGAAAAGGTGTATCTGGATAATAAGCTCCTTACCCAGCAAGTACATAACCTAACAATAGAAATGAAAAATCATTACGTTCCTTTAAAAGTTAGTGAAGAAATGAAAAAGTCACATGATGTAATTGTTGATGATTTGAATAAAAAGCTTTTAGATGTCACACAAAAATATACAGAAAAGAAGTTGGGAATGGAGAAATTGCTAATGGAAAATGACAGCTTAAGTAAGAATGTTAGCCGCATGGAATCTGTGTTCGTACCTCCTGAGAAACATGAAAAAGAGATAATGGCTCTGAAATCCAATATTGTTGAACTTAAAAAACAGCTCACTGAACTTAATAAAAAATGTGGGGAAGACCAAGAAAAGATATATTCACTCATGTCTGAAAATACCAACTTGAAAAAGACTGTGAGTCATCAATGTGTGCCAGTTAAGACCCACGAAGAGATTAAAACTGCATTGAGTAGCACATTAGATAAAACTAACAAAGAGTTATTAGATGTGAAGAAAAAGTTTGAAGATATAAATCGAGAATTTGTAAAAATAAAAGATGAGAATGAAATATTAAAAAGAAACCTGGAAAATACTCAGAACCAAATAAAAGCTGAGTATATCAGCCTAAAAGAGCATGAGGAAAAGATGAGCACTGTAGGTGAGAGCCTGAAAAATGTGCAGGCTAACAGTGCTGAAATACTGGCTGACTACCGAAAAGGCCAAGAAGAGATTGTGACGCTCCATGCTGAAATTGAAGCCCAGAAAAAGGAACTTGACACAATACATGAATGCATTAAGCTAAAATACGCTCCGATTGTCAGCTTTGAAGAGTGTGAGAGAAAATTTAAAGCAACAGAGAAAGAACTAAAAGAGCAGTTATCAGAGCAGACACAGAAGTATAATGTCAGGGAAGAAGAGGCCAGGAAGTACAAGCAGGAGAATGACAAGTTAAAGAAGGAGATTCTCACTCTGCAGAAGGATTTAAAGGATAAGAGTGTGCTCATTGAGAATTCACATGAAATGGAAAGAACATTAAGCAGAAAAACAGAAGAGCTGAACAAACAGTTAAAAGACCTGTCACAGAAACACACAGAAGTAAAGAACGAGAGAGAGAAGCTAATAGAAGAAAATGCCAAACAGACTTCTGAGATCCTTGCAGCACAAACTCTTTTGCAAAAACAGCATGTTCCATTGGAACAGGTTGAGGCCCTGAAAAAATCTCTTAATGGCACAATTGAGACTCTAAAGGAAGAACTGAAGAATAAGCAAAGGTGTTATGAGAAAGAGCAGCAGACTGTGACCAAACTGCAGCAGATGTTGGAGAATCAGAAGAACTCTTCTGTGCCCCTGTCAGAGCATTTGCAGATTAAGGAAGCCTTTGAGAAAGAAGTTGGAATCATAAAAGCTAGCTTGAGAGAAAAGGAAGAAGAAAGCCAAAACAAAACTGAAGAAGTCTCCAAACTCCAGTCTGAGGTTCAGAATACTAAACAAGCATTGAAAAAACTAGAGACTAGGGAGGTAGTTGATTTGTCTAAATATAAAGCAACGAAAAGTGATTTGGAGACCCAGATTTCCAACTTAAATGAAAAATTGGCCAATCTGAATAGAAAGTATGAAGAAGTATGTGAGGAGGTTTTGCATGCCAAAAAGAAGGAACTATCTGCCAAAGATGAGAAGGAATTACTACATTTCAGCATCGAGCAAGAAATCAAGGATCAGCAGGAACGATGCGATAAGTCCTTAACAACAATCACCGAGTTACAGAGAAGAATACAGGAATCGGCTAGACAAATCGAAGCTAAAGATAATAAGGTAAGCACCGAGGAGTCTGCATGGCTTTGCTCTGGAAACTCCAGAGCAGAACTGCCAGAGTAGAGTAGGGCTCTTGACCGTAGCATCCCACAAGACAGGCTTGCAAAAGCATTAACAAAGTGACCCTTAAATGCCACCTTTCCAGTTGGACTACTGGTGTGCAAAAGAATTCGGAATTTTAAAAAAGTAAGGTCACACAAACAAAAATCAAAAGCATTTTTTCTTTTCTTTCTTCAGCTGGTACAGCCAAGAATTGAGGAAAGATGGGGAGACTCAAGGTTCACTTGCCTCATAAATGAATGGTCAAAATGCAGTGGGATTTAGAGTACCTAAAGAATGATAAGGGAGAGGAGAAAAATAGCTATGTTTCTGGACTGCAAGAAACTAAGGATGCTGGGGAACACCCCAGACTTGATCATGGCACTCACCCATACAAGTAAACTGAGCCCTCCAATTCATTGTAGGTTCTGTCCCCATATCTTCCTACAGACTGGTCCCCTCACCCAGAATGTCCTACCCCTCCTCTCTACTGAATTAAATCCTATACATTCATTAATACCCACTTCATCACTTATCCTCCTTCCTAAAGCCTTCATTGTCCAGTCTAGCCTACAGTAAACTGTCTCTCTTCCAAAATGCATGTTTTGTTTTAGCTTTGCCATCCATTTAAAAAATATACATCACCGCGTCAAAATTATGTGGTTGATATTCCCAACTAGTTTTTAAGAGCAGGCTCATAACTTATCTTTCTTTCTTATCGTTCTTTCTCACGGTACAATTTACACAACAGGTGCTCAACAATATTCGAATACATAGTTGCATAAAGTGTGTACTATGAAGATGACCAGTCAGGGAGATTGAGTGCAGTTTTATCCATTCAACAAATAAATATTAAATGCCTTCTACATGCTGGGTGCTATGCTTAGTGCTGAGGATACAGAGATGAATAAAAGCAGACACAGCCCCAGTCCTCCTCCGTGGAGAATTACAAGACTAACCTTCTGATGCATCCTCTCATATTACCCAGAAGTTAGATGCTCTTAGCTTGTTTGGAAGGCGGTTATGAATAAAATAATATATGATTATAATTGTTATTAATATCTACTTGTAATTGTTGTCATTTATTGAGCATATACTACATACCAAGCATATATTTATGATTGCATTTGATTTTCTTAACTATGAAAGAATTTCCCCTTTCACTGATAAGGAAACTAAGGCTCAGAAAAATAGAGGAAATTAGCCAAGATTACACAGCTAATAAGCATCAGATCTGTCTGGCATTAAAGCCTATGCTTTTTCCACTACTCCATCCAGCCTCCCTGTTTCTTCCTCTTTATTACACAGTAGTCTATAATTATGCCTTCTTGAACAAGGCACAAAAGTTAATTCTAGACTTACATGAGCCATGCTCTTTTACCTTTCAAACTTTGTTGGAGGGAATCCCTTCTACCTTCCTATGTTTCAAACTACCTGGAAGATAGTCTATATACCTTCATAGGTACTATATATTATCTAAAAATAAGAAGACTGAGGTCACACTCAGATCTTAGGATATATATCATATTTATTCTTTTAATTTGGTAATGCTTTTGTAAGGAGTTTACTGAGAGGAATTTAGTTAAAGAAATTAAATTATATAGAGTCATTATGTTGCTTAACGACAGGCATACATTCTGAGAAATGCATCATTAGGTGATTTCGCTGTTGTGTGAACACCATAGAGTGACTTACACAAACCTAGATGGTATAGCCTGCTACACACCTAGGCCATATGGGACCACTGTCGTGTATGCGGTCCATCATTGACCGAAACGTTGTTGTGCGGCACGTGACTATATTGTACATACTGTTGATAACAATCTTGACAATATTCATTCCTCAATTTTCTGGTATATAAAGATAAATTTTGTGTCTCAAGGAATGATTTCTCTGTAAAGATGTTCATATAAGTGAATAATATATATTTTTCTCCCACAACTGTTTTCTTTTTTTGTAAGATAACCGAACTGCTGAATGATGTGGAAAGACTAAAACAGGCGCTCAGTGGCCTTTCACAACTCACCTACACGAGCGGGAGTCCCAGCAAGAGACAGAGCCAGCTGATCGACACCCTGCAGCACCAGGTGCAGTCCCTGCAGCAGCAGCTGGCTGTGAGTACGAGGACCTGCAGGGCTCTATGCCCGTACGTGCCGGCTCACGGTCATTTGTTTGTAGAGGCTTATTTAGAAATCAAGTTTGATTTGTGACTGACTCTGTTCAGATCCAAGAATGTAATAATTTTTGCTAAAAGTTACTTATACTAGTGATATGATGTCATTTATTTAGTGCTTATTATATGCCAGACACTACTTGAAACATTTTACGCACTTCATCTTTAAACTTTATCCTCAACACAATCCTACAAGGTTTTAATCCCCTCATCTAATTCTTGAGGAAACAAAGATGAAAGCACTTGATGCCTGGGGTCATACAGCTAGGATTAAATCCTGGGACTGGCTGACTCCAAATCTGGTATCTTTCCAACTGTGGCACGTTGTCTAAATTATTGGTCCACTAAACTAAAGGAGGTTTTTTATAATCTTTTATCCTTATGAATAAAGATAGGTATTCCTGTGATTTTATACCTTATATCCTTATATATTAAAAGAAAACATCTGGATATCTATATGTTCATATAGTTACCTATATCCATAGTTACCTATATAGATATATATCTCCTTTATATTTTAAAAATAAAGATAGGTATTCCTGTGATTTTATACCTTATATCCTTATATATTAAAAGAAAACATCTGGATATCTATATGTTCATATAGTTACCTATATCCATAGTTACCTATATAGATATATATCTCCTTTATATTTTAAAAATGTCTGGATTTAGAAGCTGAAGATGAGAGCTCACTTCTAAGCCCTGCCACTTAAAAGCCAGTGACATGGAACATTTCCCTTAATCCTTGGCTTCCTCATCCATAAAATAGGATGATAAGAACTGATTACTTGTTTGTTTGTTTGCTTTTTTAATTGAATGAGCTAATATACATGGAAATGCTAAGTAGAACATAGCCCAATCAAATGTAAATTGTTGCTAATATTTTCCTATTCTGTAGTAATTGGTTGTGAGTTGTTCTTGAAAAGAAGAAAGTTATTTTTTAAAGTGTTCATCTTATAACACCATTGGCCTACAGATTAATGACAAATTGCTGATTTGGATCTTATCAAAAGGATATGGTAGTCTCTTCAATAATCGAAAATATTTGTTTATTGTTTATTATGTTTGTGATGCTGTGCTAAGCACTGTTAGGGATACAGAGAGTATACAGTTCCTGTCCCCAAGGAGTTCTGGGCAGTTAGACAGGCAAAATATAGATCCATGAAAAGTAAAATAACAAGACAAAAAATATCAAATCCAGAATTAAGAAAATAGTCCCAGAGTCTAAACTGAGTATGATATGAATTCATAGTGATATGAATTCCCAGGAAGGAAAGAGTACTGGTGTGGGTAGCTAGTTTCAAAGAAGAAGGGAGCACCTAGCCTGAACTTGTAGATAGATGGTGTTTTGGTAGGTGAAAGGAAAACAGAATCTTCCAGGCAAAGGAAATAGTGTGAAGAAGGCATGGAGGTGGAATGCAAGTGGCATGCCCCAGGGGAGGTCAAAGGCTGATCAGCCTGGCTAGTAATGGGAGCTATATTTGAGGCCAAATTGTGAAGGTTGTTGAGAACCAAGCCTATGAGTTTAGATTCTCTCTTATATGTAAAGACATGTCACCCAAGGTTTTGAGTCAAGGTGATATGAGGAAAGAGCCATCTCAGTCTTGGAAGCATGATAGAGAATAACGTCTAGAGACGGAGACAAGATGGGAAGTTAGCAATAATCCAAAGCATAAGTTGATAAGTGACTGGATAATTTTGTGCCATTAGATGTGAACTAAGGCCATAATTTCTTGTTACCTAGGATAAGTGGCATTGCTTTCACTGTGAATGTTCCCACATATTCATTAGAAAAGGTTATACTATTGTTATGCTATCGTGAGTCTAAGGGGGTTTGTTATAAGAGGTAGCAGGAGCCCTTTAATAGTGCTACTGTCTCGTAGTATCAAGCAGCGTTGCCACAAGCCTCTGGGTGTTTGAAAATGTGAATGCTGATATTCTGATCTGTCTATCTTTCCACATTTCTAGGATGCCGACAGACAGCACCAAGAAGTAATTGCAATTTATCGGACACACCTTCTTAGTGCTGCACAGGTAAAGAACTATTTCTCCTTTGGAAAGGATATTGTTGTAGAGAAAATAATTTTTTATTTTCAAGTAAATTTATATGAAAGTAATTAATGTTTAAAGTAGTTGTACCCCATGTGCTTATTTAAAAATAATTGTGTTTCTTTTAGTCATGGCTTGCATATCTCCCAGAGAAATTTACAAAGCTATATGGCAACACAACATCTTAAATTTAGTGTTATCTCCATCTGCTTGTCACTTATTTTATAGACAGTTTGGCAACATATGATGGCAGCACACGTTAATGGTATCGTTAGCTGGAGATAATGTCTTGACAGCCACATGTGGCTGTCAGTTAAAAGAGGACAGTGCAAAGGACTTCGTTGTTTCTTGGTAGCTCAAGAGTATTTCTTTGAAATGTAGAGAATATTGTAAAAGTGCAAAAATGACAAGTAAGGTGTGCACAGATTTGTAATACTTTAAGAAAAAAATGGTTCTGTTAGATTATCAATAATATTTATTTATTGAGCTTTAAACTCAGTGAACCATAAGATTAAGAATTCCCATCTTTGGGAGTGTAATCAGAAAGCTCTTTTTTAAAAGAAATAAATCACACTAAGAAAAGGTTTAACATATGAAGGATACTATACTTAATGTTCTGTAGAAACCCTATGATCAGCATCTCCAAAATTCTCAGAATAGATTTTTCAGGAAGACATACCAGAAGAGACAATGTTAGAATGGCAGGTGTGATATATAGAAGAATTGTTTAGGATTTGAAGTGTCAGGCCACACTGTAAAAAAAAAAAAGATAGGTGTTGAGCGAAAGCTTCAGAGAAGGAGAGATCATTTGAAAAAAAAGAACTAGGTAAAATAATAAAAAGGAAGGAACTTTATGACACCGAATTCTTAAAATCAAAAAGCCTGCCTTTTCTATAGGAGATGAAGGGGAAACCAATGGAAAAGAATGAATGGTGTGATAAAAGAAAGTATCTTTGGCTATTTTCTTTTGAGTAGATAGAAGATAAGCTGAGATTTGAAAGTCTATTGCAATTATTAGAGAAGACTATTGATGGACAGCAGGACAGGAAGTTTAGGAGGGGCAATAGTAGAAAAGTATAGCAAATCTGTATTAGAGAGGGTAAGGAGCTCACTGGGATCTGATATTGCTGAGGGGAGCAAGAGCCTGCTCCTGCTGAAAGACCTGCAAACTAACAAGCTTGCTGACTTTGTATAAGGTATGCTTCTGAAATTTGAAATTATTTTCTATTGACTCCTAATGAAACATAACAGAAGCACTTGACGTCTGAAATAGTCTTGCCTTCTGGCATCATAAAGTTAACTAAGAAATTCAGTTTAGTCAACTATGGCTAATGTTTGGAATTTAAACATCCTGCTGTTATAGAAACAGATTTTGGAAGCAAAACTTCTTTTATTAATAGGAAGTGTTATGCTAAAACCTATTCAAGTGCTCAAGCAGAGAAAAAGGGGAAGAGGGTGTTGTAAGCCCACCATATTGACTTGCATTTAATCAACCTCTTGCCGTCTTTTTAAGTTTAAAGTGTTTCTTTCCAAATGTAAATGGCTTAATGTTCATGTAACAAGATCTCAACCTCACCAGTAAAGGGAGACATGCAAATAAACAGGGAGGTACCATTCTTCACTTAGGGGATTGGCAAATATTAAACAAGATGATAGCCTATAGCGTTGGCCAGGGCATTGTGGGAAATGGGCATTTATACCCTGTTGGTGGGAGTGTAAAATGTTATAATCTCTATAGAGGGAAATTTTGTAGTCCTTAGCAAAATTAAAAATTGACCCTGCTTTTTGACCTAGCCCTAGGAATCCGCCCATAAAGATTGAAACACTTTAAATGCCCATCATTTGGGGAATGGGTAAAGAAATTATGATATATCCATTCAGTGGGATATTATACAATAATTTAAAATAATTAGGAAAAGATTTTTATGACATTAGGTGAAAAGGCAAGTTGCAAAATAATATATATGATCCTATTCATGTAAAAGATATAAATATGGGGTTTTTTTTTCATTACTTTTCTATTTAAAAAAAAAAAAACTCTCAGCAGGAGCAAAAAAAGTTTTTCTGGTGGTTTACTTTGTTCACCTATAACTTATGCTGCCCCTGTCATCTGAGCTGTTATTTAAAAAGAGAGAAAGAGAGAAGTTTTTCCATCTATTTTCTGATAATAGAAGTTAGGAGCAACTGATGTGCACTCCTTTTAAATTAACCCTCTTTATTTTCATGAGAGAGCTCTACTGTCTTTTCCAATAAATCCTTTAGAATATCGCCAGGATGGTGAGGATTTAGCATTTGGTGAGTCACAACCATTTAGGCCCTGTTATAAAGCCTTTGTCTTTAGGATTAATGTGTAAAGGAAGATGACATAAAATACCTTCCGCTTTCTTCTTTCTTTCTAGGGTCACATGGATGAAGACGTGCAGGCAGCCTTACTCCAGATCATACAAATGCGGCAGGGGCTTGTGTGCTAGCGGTCAGCGCTGGCCAGCCAGTGTCTGCTTTCCCTGCTGGGGCTGAGCGTTCTGTGTGCACCTCCATGGCCTTTCTGGCCTTACTGTGCTAGTATAATTAAAATAAAATATATTTTGTTCCATCAGTAGGTTTTTTTAATTAGATGAGCATGTTACTGAGTTTTTCGATATCAGTCTAGATCTTATATTCTATATACATATGTTAATTTTACCATGAGGCAAACAACCGAACATTTTGCCTTGGATTGGCTGCATATTTTTAAACTGTTGAGTCCCTGATAAAACATGAGCCATCTGCCTGGGTCTATATAAAGAGGGGTTAGGCTGAAATAATTGTTTAAAGATTTCTTTTAGAGAAATTAATTTGGTTGGTGGGCACTTTTATGTGGGTCAAAAGATCTTTCAGATCTTCAGTTGAGCCACGAGACCTACTGCAGTTTCAAGGAATGCAGTGTAACTTGGCTGGCCAAGTTGCATTTTTATTGACGTAACTTAATGAGTGCCTTTGACTTCTTTGGGGTACAGGTTTTTTTCTTCTTACACTAGTAACTTTTATGCGTATTTAAATAAATTTCTTTTCATAAAGGGTTTCCAGTGCTAACTTACATTAAATTAAGGAAAGGCAAGGGTGGAATATATCAGGAATTTATAATAAAATTGCCTCATAATCTCCACAACAGTATCTTAATTTTCACTTGTGGTGACTTTTCTTGCCCTAGTATTTAGAGAACTATGACAAATGGTATACTAAATTTTTCAAAGTGTCAAAAATTTTAGACTTTTTTTTAGCAATTACTTTGACATTTGCTACTATAGTAACCAAGCACTCATTATACATGCATCCTCCAAATGTTTTGTACTTATTTATAGGAAAATTGCATTAATGAGATTAATAATGTGAAATGCAGTTTTCTTGCAAAATTAGCATTAGAAAATTGATTTTAGAAAACATCTTTAAGGTTTTAGACAAACGTGCAATATTATAGTAAACTGTAAGAATATAGATAGCAAGAAAATAATAAAATTGGACATGTTTATGGTAAATATCATAACCAACCTTTTTATTAACTACATTTTATTAAGGAAAGTTTATATGTTTTGTTATTTTCATTAACATTTTGTTTACCATTCAGATTAAAAATTACTAATTTGACTGTTAGCAAATAAACTGAACAAATGGATCATTTAAGCCAAGTTTTTTTTAAATTGCAAAATGTGCCTTAGCAATAATCTGAGCATCCTGAACCAGATTTTTGATCCCATTTTTGTATAATAACAAGGACAAAGAACCATCAAAGTAGCTTCTCCCACCAAAGAATAAGCCATCGTATTTCTTTAGTATAACAGTGAAAAGACAGAATTGGATTTATTTTTAATTCTTTAGGTAGATATACACAGTTTACATAAGTAGTATTTGGATTCTTTAATTTTTATATTTAATGTTCTTCAGCATGAATTCTGTTTCACGAGTATTAGGTCACCTGTAGAAGCTCTAGAGTAGAGAGAGTTCTTAACTGAATACTCACATCTCAGTGTTGTATTTTCCTTATTAGGGGTGGGAAGGGAACCTTATGTGTATTTTATTTTGTCTTCAACCATCAATAAAATATTTTCTGTGGAATACTGTTTTGAACATCCTTGTAAAAGCTTTACAAGGTAAACTAGTCCATTTCCTGTCTTTGGAGAATTTGGTATAGAGAACAATGGGGTCCAAAGTACAGATGATGATATCCATTTTCAGTTAGCTATATAGAGGGAGATATCAGGTAACCTCCTTGAGTTAATCCCCTTGTCTCATTCACTCACCTTTTGATATCAAAAGCAGAGATTGCATTCACAACACTGAATGCTAAAGCTTTTTAGATGGTAAACAAGTGGAACATATATAATGGGCAATGCTGATCTCTCTGCTGTTCTAGATTCAGAAAGATTATGAGGTCTGAACTTATGGCTAAGAGGAAGGAAGATCGGTTGTTGTCTAAGATGTGAGTGCTCTCTTAAAGAATCACTGAATACCTATTGGAGTACAGTCCTTTGTTGAAAGCTTTATTACTATTCCATTTTGTTAGTTTTTTTCTTATCATTCCTGCTTCATCAGAAAAGCTCATTCCTTTTGACAGAGGGTCAGTGTTATAAAGAACTGTTAAAATAAAATCAAATATTTATGCAATGAACATCTTAAATTTTAATATTACAGTGATTCTAATCACTACTTATACCTGCGCTGTTCTAAAATTCCAGATGAATTTAGCTTAAACTTTCTTATGGCTTGTTTTTTGTATAAACCTTTTCTCTTGACCCTAACCAAATGTTATACAGTTTAAATTTTTCTATTTTTCTAAATGCATTGGATCATTGCTGCTTTAAAAATCTTGCACTTTAGAACACGAGTACTTTTCCTCCAGTGTTACCAGCTTTCCTCTAAGAAGGACCTAAAAACTTTTCTCATACTCATCCTTCTTATCTACCTGAATGGTTCATGTTCTTGGTTCACTTGTTTCAAAGTAGAAAAGGGAAAAGTTTCCAATTAATCTTTGGTGTCCATGATGACTAGATACGTTAGTGTCTGCTTACACTAATGCCAAACATTAGATGACAGTGGTTACAAGCTTCTGTTGACGTCTGCTTCACCGTGGTGGAAGAAAACTGCTACTCAGTGCCTCTTTATTTTCCTCATCGCTGGATTCTGCACCCTTGTGTGATCTTTTTCCTTCTTGCAAGTCCTGTGCATCAAAGTAATAGCAGTACCTCTGGCACCAAAATAAGGATTGAAAGAGGATTGTCTGTGATGAGCATGCAAAATATGGGTCTATACATCTGGCAGAGAAACAAGAACCTGGACCTTACTCCTGGCTGCTAAATGTTGTGAGTAATTTTCAGAGAGGAAAAAATAATTATTATGAATAATTTTCAGACAGAGAAAAAAATGGCACCATAAAGTATATCATGCACAAAATACAAAATGGAAAATAGGCATTCCAGCTCTCGTTTCATTCAGTGATGTCCCCAACTAAACTGGATCTGAGACTGTTGGTGGAAGTTCTTTCCTGCGTTTTGGCCTTGGCTATTTGAAACAAGATTGTCTAGATCATCCTCTAGGTAAATATTACCCTGCTTCTTAGCATGGCTTCTGTTTCTTAGTGCATGTATGGGCCTTTGGCTCACAAGAGTCACGAATGCAGAGATTTAAAAAAAAGAAAAGATAAAGCTGCAGCAGAGATGGCAATGCAGTAACACTCCCTGGGCAGTGAGAGTGCTCGTGTTTAGCATAATTGGGCGTGTGGCATCACTTATGCATTAGAGGCATTTTCATTATTTATACCCGCATGAACAAACATCATTTGAGGAATGAATTCAACCAAAAAGGGAAGGTTACAAAAATGTCATATGGAAATGAAAGAACATGTGTGTGAACATATATATGTATTCCATTCAGTGAAATAATAGAAGAGACATCAATAAAAATAATACCCCTTATAATTGATATTTGGCATCAAATTGTTGTACTTAATGGGCCCGATTTTTATTTTACATTTTAAACAGGTTTGCAATTTTTTTTTCAAGATAGCAGTCCTGGGAATATTCTGAATTCAGGAAGGAGTTTAGAAAGGTTATTGCCTTCTTAATAATTTAGAGCTTCTATTGCTCTGCCAAGTCAGAAGATTAACATTTAATAGAAAAAAATTATATATCTATAATTCAGTCACGGCTATTAGATCAGATGGATTTTACATTAAGTGAAAAAGATGTTGAGCATTTAAGGACCATTAAACTACAGGACTCTTTTATTGGGTTTTAAGGCCTCCGAGCCCGGGTCCTGCTGCGAGGAGTATTTATTTTACATATACAGAACGCATTAAGGATGGGAAGAGGGCATACATTTTAAAAGAAAATAGGCCATAAAAAAGTGTGATTTTCCACATTGTGAACAGCTGCTATACAGACTCAGTCTTATTTTGTAATAATTAGTTTTATGCATCATTAAGTAGCTCTTACAGGCTAGAAGAAAATGGTGAAGGCCACTTTAAAATTGGTACCTGCGGGAAATCCAAGTAGCTGGGTACCCTCTGCTGTTGCTATTTCTCTTCGAGAAACCACATTTCTAATAGTTTCCAGGTTGCTCTATATTGTAAAGAATTTAAGTTTGAAAATGCCTTCTCCAGTGGTCCTTAAGGACTATAAAAAAAGAAAAAAAAAGACCTAGAGAGGAGAAGTTACTTCTAATAAGTGTCTTCTGTTTTCTAGTGATGCCCAAATTATCAAGAAAGGACTAGAATTCAACTCTTGAGAAGAATCACTCACCTATGGGGAGAAAGTCTGCAGCAGCCTTTTTATTAAGTGCTGGTAACACACTTTACATTGTGGCAATTAAAACATGACAAGCAATATCTTAATTAATATAAACTTTTCTTCCTGTTTACACCATACCTCCTGTCCCATTCCCACCTCCAGAAACTGGGAAGCGGTTTATGTAGGAGTATAAAAGCATGTAGACTCACAGAGAATGTGGGAATGTAACTTTTTTCCTACGACGTCCAAACAAATTTTGTGATTTTCTCTCTTGCTATTCTAGGCTTTTTTTTAATTGCCTCTGACTAAAGTGGCACCTTATGGGCTGCTTCAGAAATTCTCTTTAGGATTTAAAAATGAAGGCTATTCATATTCAGAGTCTTCCTGCTAAAATCTGTTAAGCCAAAATAAAAATGACTGCTACTTAAATTTTTTTTTCCTCTTTGTTATTGCTACACTGTCTCACTTAGAGGACTTGCAAGTTCCCTTTTATGCACAATTAAAAATCCTTCTTTGTACAAATGGAGAGAGATGAACTATCACAGGACTGCCAACACATGTCCTAAGGATTGAAGTGTGTACGCCTCCATCAGAGAGAGGGGAGCTGCTCTCTTGAGCTTGGAGGCTTTTGTGTGTGTGTGAATTGTTCCAGTTGGCCTTAATCCCTGAGCAATATAGCTCCTTTAAAACCATCTTTATTCATTCACACCAATTGACACTTTAAGAAATTCCCCCAGCTACTGCTCATCTGAGTCTAAATATATCTGTTAGAGTTGAATTCATTTGAGAGGATTTGCAATCTGTGATTATCCAAAATACTGTTCATTGTCAATAT